TAGTGCTGACACTGTTGGAAACATGGTAAGGTATCGCTTTCAGACTTGGAAGCCTTGCTAAAACATTATCCAAAATTGTAGACTGCTGCATATTCAAGTGAATCAGGCGCTACTGCTCATGAAGATCATGAACAGTGAGCATAATAAGTGCCTAGAACCAAATCAGTAATTAATACAGAACTGCAGAGCATGCGTTATGAAACAGACTTTGCATAATATCCTCAAATACTTCAGCATTAGATAAAAGGGTAAGGAAGAGAGATTATGTTACATCAGCAGTGGAAAAAAAAATCTTTCTGAGTTTAAATAAGCAAGTAGGAGAGCACTGCTAAAAGTGAAGAATCAAACAAGGAAATGGTGCAAATAGAAAGGCTGTGCTGCATGGAAACACACTTACATACCAGCAGCAGCGAGACTAAAGCAAAGGGAAAGGGAATATGCATCCAATCATAAAAGAAGGGTCTGGTTTTTGATTTACCCATACCAGTGTTCTCCAATAAACCAGAAGTTCATTCCTATTCCGAGAAAAATTTCAAGGAGCACTTGCCAAAGTTATCTATCTACATACACAAGCAGCAGTGAAGAAATAACAGAAAGGATAAATACAGCTGTAATTACTAGTCAGAAATCTCATTTTAACAACATTCTGCTCTACTTAGCACTCTCCTGGGAAGAGGAAAACTCATCAAACTGCCAAGGTTTCCCCTAAAATGAAAAATATTTGCACACTCTTCTGAAGCACCAAGAGGACTCAAGAAGGGCTTAGCCAAGGTACAGTATGAAGCCCTGGAAGGCACAGAACTGTTGCCATGTCCTGTAAGTCATCCAAGCACAGGATCTTGAAACATCTTGCTAGGGTTAGCTCATGCAAAAACTGAAGCATTAGGAAGTATCAAATGGAGGAGTACAACTGTGGATTGAAGCCAGTGCAGTCCATGCTTCTGAATTCAAGCATCTCCTGGAGTCCAAATTCTGTGGCTCTAAGGGAAACTCTGTTATGTAAGGTGGGGGCAGATGGAAGAAGACATGCAACAGATCTTACAGCTTCATTTGAGTTATTCTCTAGCTGTAAAGTACTCACTCTGGCCCAAACTGAACTACATTGTACCACCCTAAAAATTCTAAATAATTGAAAAGTGGATCAGTCACAGCAGGTCTCAAAAGATCACACCATAATTGCAGCTATTAAAGACACATTTTTTACTGCAGCACAAGACAGGGAATAAAAGCTGGGGTATTCACTTCACATTTGTAGCCAGAAACTCTGCAGGGTCACACAGCTCAGCCAACCTTACGTACAAGCAACACGCATTTGTAACTATGGGACCAACCTTAAGGATGGTTGATGACTTGCAGCATGCATCACCATCCTGGAATTCTGCTCCATGTATTTGGGGTTTTCAAAATTGCGCTGCTTATTTTTGCATCACAAATCTACCTGGTTCTAAAACAGTGTAAGCAATTGACAGCACATTCAAATCATATCTTCAAAGTAAAACACAAGTTTTTCTCTCGTGTGAGCCGGTAACTTAACATCACCAATTCCACTGAAACCATCCTCTCAAAACAGTGAAAGTAACTGTCATCACAGGACTACAAGATTAAAATCATACATAGAGCCTTTGCGTTTATTAGAATTGAAACAAGAGATTTTCAGTCCTGTTACTGCTTGTACTACCTAAATATCAGACAAACTTCAAACTGAAACACTGAAGTTTATCACAGGTTGACTGTAAACACTGTCTTAAACTGGATTAATCAATGAGATGATTTGAATAAAGTAATTTTACTACTTGTAGAAAAATCTAGTTAAGTTATGAGGATTTTGATTGGCATTATTTTTAATGAGATAAGATGAATCAGCAGCAAAACCAGAAGTTCTGGGAAAAGGGCTACTTCCTCTGCAGAGCAAAGTCACTGCTTCAAGAAAGCTGACTGTCTCCTGCCTTCAGAGGAAGAGCACGGGGAAGATTATATAAGACATGTCACTCACATTTGCACTGAAAAGACTTCAAAAGAAAAAAGCCATTGCATATTACAGTGTAGTATTACCAGAGATATTTTAAAATGTTCAGCACTGAATGACTTCAATCTTACAGAATTCACGGTTTTTTGTTTGTTTGTTTTTTGTAAGAAATGCAGTATGTACCTGGATTAAGTTAAGGGTTCACTGTACTTGTTTTCAGAACTTTAAAGAGATCTTTTGGAAGCCAGGAAGGAGACAAAATGTTATGAAAAGCCAGTGCTGACATTTAGGTAGTAGGGCTTTTTTGTTTGTGTTTTGGCATTGTTTTTTATTTGCTTACTGGAGGTAGTATGCTAATCCTTAGAGATTCCCTCTATACAGTGAATGAGTGAAGGAAACAGTCATAAATCAAGACAGAGTACTTCTGAGAATGTTCACAGCAACTGATGTTATTTCAAGATGCTGGGCACAGAAAATAACCTAGTCAACACACACAGAACATAATGTTCTGGTAGTAAAACATAGCAATGACAGATAATTCATTGTAATGTGAAATGACCAGGCTACAAAGTATAAAGATATTGGTGATTTGATTTTTAAAATGATGTGAAGAAATCTGCCTCTTCCCCTTCTACATTTCTTGGGGGAAATCTTTCATTTAAAAAAAAAAAGTTCACATTAAATAATTCCACACTTCACACACAGGAAAAAAACAAACAACAAAAAACTTATTGCTTCTATAAGAGACACATGATGTTGAGCAAAATTAAATCACAAACTCATAACTGAATGAGATTCACTAAAATCAAAGAACCTTAAATGTATCTTTCTTGCTGTTATTAAACAAAATTACCATATGCAATGGATATAAAATATAAAACATTTTCAGTACTGAAAGGGCTACAAAATAACTTTCAGTACTTAGAATAGAATTTGGGTTTTTTAATTTGCAACATGCTTTTTATGCACATTGTATCTAAAAACAAAACAAAAATTAAGATAATATTTAAATTTCAAGTTGTTAAGCTAATCTAAAATTATTTGTTATGTAAGAAATTAAAAACCACTCTTCTGAAAGCTTGTAAGGAACTGTCTGTTAAAACAGTGCAGAACAATCCCAGGTTAAGCTAGCACGTTTACACTGATGTGACAGAATCTCCTATTCACCTGGTTGTGGATTCAGGTTGTGCTACTAAAAGCATCTCTTTGAATACTAAAAGAAAAAGAATATAACTTGAAAAGTTAAACATTTGCATGTTCATCAGAAATGTACTTCTTTTTTTTTTTTAGAGAAAAACACAGAGGCATTTTTAAAGTAAAACAGCAGAGACCAGAGGCCAACGGAAAAAAAAAATAAACAAAAATACCTCTCTTTAAAAGCGATCAAGTGATTAAATAAACCCCAAACTTTACATTGACATGTAAGAAAATTTTCAAGAAGAGACCAAGCACCATTTTTGTACTGCTGAGTTCCTGCCTGGGACCTTCACCAGGCATTCAAAAACACCAAAGTCTGCCCTGCTGGATATTTCTATATTTCACAGCAATCTCTTTCGTTTCCAAACCAGTGCACATTTTTTCCACTGTCAGCGTGTTTCAAAAGAAACTGTCTATTGTGAAATGGAAATGAAATCTTAAGAGATTACATGCAGCCTTAAACATAATTCTGGAAAAGATCAGAAGACTGAACTTAAGCCACGAATACATCCCTCTGAGATGCATCTCGGAAAGCTGGTCAAGACTGTTGAGCACAATGACTGGCATCTGCTGAAAAGGATCATGAAACAAATGTATCAGAGACTGGAAAAGCACCCACGTCTGATGTAGAAGGGTTGGCAGCTGCCAGACTAAGTTCATGTCTAGCAAACCCTTGCCCTACTATTCTGATCACAGTTTGCAATGCAGAGGCCTGTAAGCAAGCAGAAAAATACTTGTCAATATATTAACAACATATGATACAGGTGAGATGGATTGTATTCAGCCATTTTATGCCGCAGTTTAGCTATGGGAAATAAAGTAAAAATTTACAAGCAGAAGGGGACATACTGCAGATTTTGTTCTCTAACCACATTACCTTTAAGGCAATGTCAAAACAGGCACAGAGCTATATTCTTATTTAAACACCTCGATAAAGTTCTTATTTTGAAAACAATGTTCAAATCTAGGTCCACCATATAGCATTATAAAATCAAATAGTGTGTCAGATAACTTAATGAGAGATAAAGGAATCTTACTCATGTTTAACCAAGCCTTCAACTCTACTTCCTTGTGATCAGTAGGCATGCATGGCATGGCTTTTACTGACTGACCTGCCAAAACCTGCCTATCCTCATTTAATTTGTATTCTGTTTGAAGGTGGTGCCAGAGTGGTTTTGCTGGCAGCTGTTTTTTGGAGGGAGTGTTTTTGTTTTTTTGTTTGTTTCCTGAAGAAATGCAGAGAAGGAGCATGTCCTGTCTCACAACCAAAGGCCAGTTGTAGGTACTCAGGTTGCTGACCATCTTCCAGTCTGGTTCCTGCTCAAGCTGATCATTTAGCATTTGAGAATAAAGCAACTGATGAAGCAGAAAAATGTACAATAATAACTTTTCCTGAATTTAAGATAACTATTAACAGAATAGGTTGGTGTATCAGAAGCATAAAGACTGACACATGAAATTCTACATACATTTTAACCATTAATAATTGCTTCACCATTCAGATTTTACCTGAAATTCAGGTAGGAATTCTCAGGGATACAAGTCTTGAAAGTAACAGTGATATATTCATTCTCCCATTAAATCCTGCATTTGCAGGAAGCAAATAGGAAACAAAATATCCGTTTGAAATCCTTACATAGCACTTGGCCACAGAAAGTTAAAAATACGCTAACAAAATCTCCTTTCTTGCCTCCAGCAGTTTTTAAAAGTCTTTGGCATTTAAGTACACAAGGCTGGGCAAAAACACTAAACCAAAATTTGTTTCTTTCAAGAAGGACACTTAAACTTATATATAACTTTAGGCAAAAAATAAAATGTATTTTGAGACTCAACTAAATCAAGTTATAGAAATTGACCTTTATTTAGTAATCAGTTTCTTTAACTTTTTTTTTTGATACAAAGTGACATTTTTATTTTAGTACAGAAAAATCATATCAGAACAGTACCTGTCTGTTTCAGTTGTACCACTGAAGTCTACTCTGACCTCAAACTTTAAAAAACAAAGAAACAAAAATGAAATAACTGAAAAATAACTGCTGTCCCTCACCATGACAAATACATGCATACCATCGTCTATTTCATTTATATATATACACACAGTATTACAACAATATAGTAGAATAGTAAATAAAATAATACTGTATATATATATATGTTTTGTATGTATTACAGTTCAAAAATACTCTCTCTATATAGCATGTAACTATATATAGTACTTTGAACTATAAAATAGCATCCACAAAATGGAATTTAAATTTAGGACCAAATGTTTCTTTGAAGACCTGTGCAAGAAGAATCCCTTTTTCATTTAAACAAGCTGCAAACAAAACTGTAGGTTGTAGTGTAAAACTAGAAACCCCTACATAATGAAATGTTAGGAACAACGACTGAAAAGCAGTTCTACTGAAATTATATTTTAAAAACAATTAAAATACAGTACCCAAAAAACATGGCACAAGAGACAGAAGAGACAGGTAAAAAATCTGTGTTAGGAACACAGAGTCAGAAGTGCGCAAAAAAAAAAACAAAAAAAAAACAAAACCACAAACAAACAAACAAAAAGGAAACTGATACAATGGAGTTTGGTACAATAAGTAAGTATTGCAATCAAAACTAAACAATCACTTACTTTTTACAGTGAAAACATTAACAATTCAGTACCTTTCTACAGGCTTTTAATCAAAGCCCTAAACCTGTGGCTGCTCTTAAATAAAAAACTATGTGAATGCTACACACTGAAATACAAAGCTTCAGAATTACCCTGCAAAATTGCACCAACGTAAGCTTTCCATATTTACAGTATCTGAAAGTGACAGAACACAGCATGCTAGGCCTAGCTTACGACTCTTGCCCACCTGTATTTATCCAGGCCCAACAACCAAAAATTGTTATTTCTCAACACACAATAAGTTTGGATTGTTCAGTTATATTATGACATTTAAATATCAGATTCATGCATAAGACAAGAAACAATGTCTTTGACAGACAAGTGTTGACATAATACAAACAGTGGTCTGCCCTGTAAAAGAGTGTACTTCCTTCTGAACTTACTCCCAAGACGTACCAATAAAATCCTGTATTATCTGGTTGTCAAGTCAATGTGCTTAGAAATGGTAAAAACTGCAGGTAAGAGTCATGTGCATAAACCATTCACTCATATTCAGAATTTCACTCTGTTTTGGAGAGTTACCTCATTTTGTGAAAGGACACAGAGTTATAAAATAAAACAAAAACAACAAAAAAGACATTCAAGTAAACAGCAACAACCAAATACTTTTGAAAAGGTTTTTGTAAACTTGTTGTTCTACAGGGTTTTGCAGCATTGCTAAATTCATTATTTATGGACAAGTCCACACAGGTTGTAACCCACATGCCAACCTGTCACATGTATAGCAGAAGAGACAAGCTCGGTGAAGTGATCTACCCTTCCCAAATGCCTTGTTGGTTCTTCTTGTGTTCAGTGTTATCGTTCCCCTTCATGAAACAGGAATCACTTACTTACATCTTTATAAAGACAGAAACGGGCAGAGTCCATTGAATAGAAAGTCAGTTGGTTATTTACACCTGCAAAGCAGTTTCACAGCAAAAATAAATCTACAGTGGGCCAGCTGGGATCCACAGGACTTTGTTTTGTTCTTGATCGACAGTTGTCATAATCTGAGTGCAAATGCTTGAAAGGGCTCCTCCCTGGACAATGCCTAGAGAAAAAGATTTCCCCCGCACCCCCCCCCAAAAAAAAAAATTAGGTTGAAACAAACAGTTATGACTAAGTACAAAGAGCAGTCTTGGGCATTTTTATGATGTTTATCAACAGATCAGAATTAATTTACTCAATTCAATATTTTCCAGATGCATGAGTATTATAACAGGGAGAAGAATAAACACAGCAAGGAGTCAAATGTCAGTATACAGTCCCTTCTGCTAGCTGTTGAAATAGCCCAGGGAAGCAGTAGAATTGATGGGTATAATTAACTAAGACAACTGTTTTGTTAGTCTTCCATATACTATTTTCAGAGGCATCAGGTGGCAGTTTAAGTCTAAAAATGGTCAGAACATACAATATAATAAGCCTTCTCTGTTCAGCACGTAGTGCTACAGGTTTTGAATTTATGTGGTAATATACATAGAGACTATAGCTGTAGCAACTAGGTACTATTTGCAAATATTAGAAACAAATTAAGAGGCAGCTTACAGAACGCAAAATAAAACAGCTGTGGTTGCTACCTCAACTCTTACTAGCAATTATACTCTAATAACATACAACCAATAGCAAGCAATTCCCTGAAGACTGACACAAGAGGTAAACAAAGAACACCCTGCATTCTGCCCTTACTACTTATAACTGGTATCTTTAGCATTATATAAGAAGTAAAAGGCCAACACTGACACAGAAGGGGAAAATGTGGAACCCTTAAGACTTAAAAAGTGAGAAACTTAGTGACTTAAGAAATACATCAATTAAACATCTGGCCTAACACTAATGCTGAAAGCATACAGAAGTCTATAAAGCTTGAGATGTAGTTTCCAGTTCTGAGAAGACAGAATTTAATTTGTGTAAAAAATGTAAGTAACTCTGCAGTATACACTGCAGGTACTGATGTCATATAAATTTGGATACAGAATGCAGAAAAGAACAAAGCCTATGAAAGGTGATTAATGGCATTTAGGAACAACTTAGATTACAAGTAGTGCTTATAATTTGGTACATGAAACAAAGCCAGTTCAAATGATTCATAAGCAAAAAAAAAAAAAAAGGCAGCACTTAAAGTAGTCACAGAGTTTAAGTTGCAGAGTATCCCATACAGCTTCATGAGGAAGCTACTAGACCTAATATGCTTAACTACAGCCTTATCTTATACACCAAGTTATGATTTCAACAAGCTTACACATCAGTGCAGTTTGAACAGCAATCCTATCTGACTACCATCATCTGGAAAAGCTGATGACAGCTGGAGACTGCTATATTAACACTAACAGAGGGAGGCCCTCCCACAAGCCACGTGAGAAGGCACATGAAGCACCTTGTTTAAGTGAGTCCACTTTCACTATCAGAGGGAGATTATAATACAACAAATGCCTTAACAATTAGCAGAAGATAGTGCATGAACATCATTTAGATTAATATTTGTCTTAGGATACACCATGACAGCTCCATACTAAAATGTATCCTTCACCTTCCACTCCTCTGCGCTTGGCAGGTATATTTCAAAATAATTCTGAAAGAATCCCATTGTTTTGAGAGCCTGAGGTTGGGTTCTGTTTGGTTTGGGTGCTGTTACTTTTTTTTCTTCATTTGAAGTTGTGTTGCCATTCACGTTAAAATGGATAGGATTTCACCGTTACTCTCTTGAATGCATATAGAACCATAAGAAAGTATACTCTGAAACAAGTACAGGCAATTTATGAACACAGCAGCATTTCCCTGGGAAAATATTAGCTGCAGTCCAAGATTTGAGTTACAAATCTAAAAGTGTTAAAAAGGCCTCTGATGTTTTTTACTTTAAATTACAATGCACTTTTAAATTAAATTTAAATTACTTTAAATTACAATGCAATTTTTGTTCATTAGTTTGTTTTTCTTTTAACATAACTACAGAACAAATTATTCCTTATATGTAATATAAGGAATAATATAATTGTATATTTGTGTAATGTAATATAATTATTAAATTATCTTCGCTGTAGTTTTGGTAGTCTGGGCTTGTAATAAAATATTCTCAGATTCTCCTTCAAATACAAAATTCATAATCTCCTAAAAATCAAAACACGTAAAAGCAAAGGACAGCACTTGTATCTAGAGATTTTCTCTCCCAGAGCATGAGGTTGCCAAGTATGGAAGTAGAATGAAAAAATAACAGCCAACCAACTAACCCCTTGAATCAAACAACATATTTCAAATTACAGTATAAAGTGAATAAATTGCCACAGTATTTCCAGTGAAACGCTGATTAGATACTAACCTGTAAAGTACTTGCTATACTCTTGTTCTATTTTTTGAGCTGTCTCAAACTGTTCTTTGGAATGTTTTTGTGTAACTTTGTCCCTCAGGAAGATCGGGTCTTTTTGCTCTCTGCAAAAAAAGAAAACAGGAACAAAGAGATAGAAAGAAAAAGATTATTATCTTTTTTTTTAATTTGACTTGAAATACATAATTGCCTTTAGTTTGGTGAATGTGAGGAACCAATTAATTTGCAACCATAATGCTGTGAACAGACTGCCATCTACTGTGGCTCAGCAGTACTGACATAGGCATGAGAATCATTTCTGTTCTACAGATTTCTATTTGCTGTAAAAGAGCAAGAGTCTTCCTTACATCTCAGAAATTGGGTACAAGCTGAAGGAGAAAGAACACTAGTGCTCTATACCCAGAATTAGAACCATGGCCCTGCTCATTTAAAGGGCCTAAAATAAAGAGCACTGTGCTAATGGAACGTAAGAGAATATTCTCCTCATTTGTACCTATTTCTCTCTCAGCTTATATAAGACACATCAATGAGGTCAGTGTTATACAAACTTGTGAATAAAATAAGAAAAAACATAAGGAGAAGTGGCAAAAAAATCTTCATTTAGATCAAAGCTTGTAGTACTTTTCTTTGAATAAGGCTTTGATTTCCCAGTAGGGGATTCTGTAAAAGGAGGCAAAATTTATAATCAACTAGTAAAGTCATATAGATATGCACTGACCCAAAATAACTATTGTTCTTTATAAAAGCAAGAAATAAGGCAAAATTTGTTTTATAAATAAAAATAATTACAACTTAGTTAGCTTCAGTGCTGTGAGGGATTGTGAAATTATGCAATCTGGAGGTGGGAAGAAAAAAAAATAAATACACAGAATGCTGACAGAAGTTGTGGTAAACAAAAAAAGTTTTTCAGAAAGACCTTAGCTGCCCAGAACAGGCAGAGGCAAGTTCCAGTTCATCTTACTTGAAAGCTGTTAGAAAGCTTTGCTTCCCGACACTTAAAAAACAAATAAATAGCTTTGATGCTCAATACTCCATTTTCAAACAGGCTCAAGATATCATGATATGACAGCTTCATTTATCATTCCATATCATTCCACAATCCTAATGAAATACACGACAAAACTTTGTCTTGCTCATATTTGAAAATGGCAATACTTATCTTCTTTATTAAACAGTCCTCATATTTACCGAAAGATCAAGAATATTAGTCTTCAACTTTCAAAATGAAGACAGTAGAAGTAAAACAAAATTACTTCTTAATACTTATGTAGGGAGATTACGTCACTTTTCCCACTTCTATCAAAAGGTAGAAATGCTTCCTAAAATATCAGTGGAAAGACCGGGGTTTTTAACTTCCAGATTCTGTTCCTGACTATATTTAAAAAAGAAATTCCCAATAACTTAAGGAGCACTGCCTGACAAGACCACAATACATTCGCTCTATGGAAAAGGCTGATTTCCATTGCTGCTTTTACTGGAGAACAAAGGTGGTAAAGTCAAGGTTAAGGATCAGTTGTCCAAATTGTAAGAGAGGAAACTCAGTGCATTCTCACACTTGGCCCCACTGAGAAGGATGAAGCTCTTCATTTAATCCCCAATATTATCATGAATCACAATCATATCTATCTTATGGCTTACACAGTGGTGTGACTGAGAACCTGAATACCTCCTTAAGTACACAGAGTTTGTTATATGTTGTTTGATTTCCGAATGATTCACTTAATTGTAATGCAATCAAAATAAAATCAAGATCATGTGCTTCACAGGTGGCTTTCGTGAGGATTAATTTCTGCATTTGATATACAGTTAAGATAACTAGGATGAAAGAAATAACAAAGACTCAGAATTACTTTGTTAAAATAAACGTCACAGAACTACATCCCTCACAGACTTACTTGATTTGTTTAGCATTTTTGTAGCGAATAAAAATTACAATAGGGTAGATATGAACACTGTGGAGCCGTTCGATGGCATGAGGAGCGATGTCAAGCAGACAATGACAATCCTAAGATTAAATGTAAAGGAAAAACATTCTTTCAGTTAGAGAGCACAAGCACACCTACAAATCCCCCACTTCTTCCTTTACTTAAATCACAGCAACCTAACACTTTCACAACATGTTTAACATTTAGCAGCTACTGAGCAATTTGTACCCATAAGAAAAACTGCAAGAAGTTGCATTTACAAAAAACATACATCAACAGAAATCCAAGTATTTGAAGTATTAATGAAATAAAAATCTCATCTCAGGTTGAGATAAATATAATGCTTTTTTTTTCCAAATTTAAATAAATTCATTTGCTCTTTCAGAAATCATAAACAAACAAGACTTAAAGTAATAAGACTGTATAGTTTGACAGAAAACCATAAACAATGAATAGATTTTTATTAACATCTGTTAATTAACCTGTTGCCAGGATCATTATGTTCACAAGATAGATATGACTGCATTAAGTCAAACTGCTTAAAAAAGCGAAACAAGCAACTAAACTGTCATTTTATAGGGAGGCAAAACCTACAGACTCTAAAAAAAAAAATTATTTCAAACTTTGTATAATAACACTGCAAAAGAACATGCACATTACAAGACGGAATCAAGTGCACCCTCAGCAAGTTTGCTGATGACACCAAGCTGAGTGATGCAGTTGACACAGTGGAAGGAAGGGTGCCATTCAGAGGGACTCAACAGACTTGAAAGGTGGGCCCGAGTGAACCTGATGAGGTTCAACACAGCAAAGTGCAGAGTTTTGCACTTGGGCTGGAGGAATCCAGGCATTTATACAGACTGGAAGGAGCAGCCCTTGAGAGCAGCCCTGCAGGGAAGGACCCGTGAGTCCTGATGGATGAAAAACTTAACATGAGCCAACAGGAAGGTGATTGTTCCTCTCTGCTCTTGTGAGGCCCCATATGGAGTACTGTGTCCAGGTCTGGAGCCCCCAGTACAAGACAGACTGGGAGTTGTTAGAGCGGGTCCAGAGGAGGGAGGGCCACAAAGATGATCAGAGGACTGAAGTACCTCCCCTACGAGGATAAGCTGAGGGAGCTGGGCTTGTTCAGCCTGGAGAAAAGAAAGCTGCAACATGACCTCATTGCAGCTTTTCAGAAACTAAAGGGAGCCTACAAATAGGAGGGAATCAACTCTTTGAAAGGGTTGATAACAGCAGGACAAGGGGAAATGGTTTTAAGTTGAGGGAGGGAAGATTAAGGTTGGATGTCAGGGGGAAGCTCTTTACTATGAGATTGGTGAGGTGCTGGAACAGGCTGCCCAGAGAGGTTGTGGATGCCACGTCCCTAGAAGTGTTCAAAGCCAGGTTGGATGGGGCCCTGGACAACTTGGTCTTGTAATAAATGGGGAGATTGGTGGCCCTGCCTGTTGCATGGGGGTTGGTGATTCATGATCCTTCCAACCCAGGTCATTCTGTGATTTCTACAAAGATGGACTAACATGAAACTGTATTTAAGTAGTTACAATAATAACTTTTTTTTTAAATTATTTTATTCAGTGGCCTGGGGAAGAATTTGCTGGACAATGCCAAGACAAAATTTCCACTTTCCCTGCTCCTTAGAATGACTATATAATGCAAATCTTACCAAGAACTACAGCATTAATAGTGACTCACCTTTTCTGTTATCTCCTTTATTGAAGCAACAGTTGTCACATCAAAATGTCCACTCCTCCGTTTATAATCTATAAATAGGCAATCCTTCACACCTCTCTCAATGGCTTGTTGGGAAGCTTTCATAACCTCTGTTACATGGAATCAGAAGAGAATCACCGCTCATTCCTATTTTTTAGGCACAGAACAAGACTAACAGAGTAGCCTGTAAATGAAGATATTCCTTTTTTCTGCCTTTGTGCTACCATTTAATTCACATACAGATGTTACCATCTAACACAGAAGAAATTAGTTATATTCCCATACTTACCAAGAGGACATCTGCAAAATTTTCCTGGGGATTCTTTGACCAACATGTCTTTCACAGCATCAAGTAATGGTCCTAGAATAAGCACGGGTCTAGGAGAGGTACAGTCCACTTTCTGTACACGCTGATACGCCAGACTTGCAGAATCTACACCAAAAAAAGAATTATAAAAGTAGATATTATTCTCCTGGCATTCCTCAGATAATGTGGTAACTGTAATTGTGAAAACAACTTCACATCTGCTTTTCAGCAGAGAAGGGCCGTCAGAAATACAAAAATGCTAACTATATCAATTACTGCAATTTTCCCAACCTGACAGCTTAAAAAAAGACATTAAAAAAAAAAAAAAAAAAAAACTGAACCTCACAATTCCAACCCCTCCCATTTTTTAAAAGGAATAATTCCTAGTTTGTGTTAAATATCGTGAACAATATACACTAGTCACTTAATTTGTTAGGTTCTTTGAAGGGAGTGTTGCAATCAACACAACTTTTGTACAGCAATAAACAAACTGAAGATTTTTGAGTGTACCCAGGATTTCTGCCTAGATTAAGTGATGCGGACAGAAATTGAGTAGTTGGAAAGAATGATTGAAACAATCCATCAAAATGCACCAAAAGCCCTCTCTCTCTGCAAATGAAACATCAGTGTCAATTATTAGGAATAAACTACCAAAAAAACCCTTTCTTAAAAAGAGTTTGACAATCTGGCTTACTATTTAATACAGGTTTTTTTGGGTTTTTTTTTTTTTTCTTTGCTCCTGCAAGAAGTGTACATTTATCATTTATATGAATACCATACAGAAAGGTAGGTTATTTGTTAAATGTATTGCTGCAGACAGTTGAAAACAAAAAGATACCCTCTTGAGTACAACAAAGGTACTTGCCATCCAAGAAGGGGATTGAGTCTGTGCTGATTGTATCGAGAGCAAGCAAATCCTTTCCATCTTTGGAACCACTCCGTTTGTGTTTATGCTTTCTCCTAAAAAATGACCTTCGTGCTGCTGCTGACAATGTCTTGGAAGAGCTGTTCTCATCCTTAGTCTCAGACATGCTGTGTCTCCTATAGAATTCCTGATCCATCCTGTAGTAGAAGAGTTACAACATGGAGAAGAGACTATTAGAAGAAAATATAAAGGAAAGCAGAGGGACTAACAAACAAAATATATAACTTGGCAATAATTAATGTGATTTTGGTAATAATTTAAAAATGTTAATTCCTCCATGTCCCTGAGCTGTTCTACCAACATTATGCAATTGTGTTTGATGCAGTTTTCCATTAACATCACTATCCACAGAAAAATAAAATCACTGGTACTTTACAAGAACAAGTGCTGCACCATTGAACTAGAGCATATTTTTGCTGTTATAACTCTCACTTTCTGCTCTTGAATTATCTATCACAACATTAGGCTATGAGTGTTTTCCATTTATTATTCAGTGACAGTATAATTGAGTTGGTAGAGAAATGTATGTAAATACATCCCCAAAAAATGATTTCTGAGAATCAATATGTCCTAGAACTAACAGAAGCAAGCAAGTCTTACATCAGCTATCATTTGTCAGACAATTTTGAAGACTGAGGTAAGTAACTTGTATGGTTATCACTCACATATATTTACTAGGAATCTGTCCTCTTTCCAGTTTCTGAGCATTCTCATCTAGCTGCCAAGCCATCCAGCAACCAAAGTTTCCTTGTGGTAAAGTATCATCAACATACAAAATGTCATCCTTCTTAAAGCTTAAGTCCTGTTCCACCTCTGCCACACGGTCATAAAGTGCTCTGGAAAGAAAGACATAAATATGCTCTTCAACTGATCTCCATCAACTGAAACACAGAACAAGTTTCTTCAAAGAAAATGGAACAGATTAGAGCACAGAAGTTTACAATGAAACATGCAGACTTACTATGTTACAAATTGTGTATTCACAGTCAAAGAGTCTAGCTGGGATAAATTATTAACTTTGAATTTCTAAAAGGTGGCAAAAGAGATGTATAATCTCTTTTGTGATAGTCAGTATCATCCTAACCGCTTTACTTTGTTATTACATCATGCTCAAATACCTGATAAAGAATCCATCTCCAGGAAGCTCTTTTATCCTATTAAATTCCTCAATTCTGTATTGAGTCTTTATTTTGATATTTTCTCCAGGTTTCAACATTTCGAGGTAAGCTTCCTCAGCTGTTTTAGTTCGCATATCAATGGATCCATACTACAAAAACACAAAACCCTTAAGCGTGATACAAATCTTAACAGACAACAGAATTAGGTGAGCTTGAAAAACCATGTAAAACGAGTCTGTTTTTCATAATGGAACACCCTACATACAAGCAAATCTTGTCACTTACCTATAGCATTTAGTAACTTAAAACATCTATCAGGAGTTGCGATAAAAGGCAAAACACAAACTGAATGTAGTTGGCATAACCAAGAGAGACAGCTTACACTTCTTTTAAGTAGTACGGAAGCATAAGCTGAGAACTGCAGAATTCAAACAGGAAATAATTTTTTTTAAGGGAAAAAGGTTGCCTGACGGAAGTCAGAAAATTTCTAAGCAAGATCTACATCTGGATACTAGAGACAAAATGGGAGAATCTCAACAGACAGAGAGCATTAATGTTCAGCCGTATCTGAAAAGCTTATTAAAAGAAAAATATACAGCATCTTAACAGTCCTGTCAAACAGAGAAATAGTCTTGTGTCAAATAAAGATAGTATAGTCAAAGACATTTCATGATTTCCCCCAAAGTCCGATTAGAATTTCATTGTGTTAAATTCAATAGTCTTCTGTTTCACAGTATGTTCCATACTCCTATCTTTGTTGTCTGTACAGAATTGTATTCAAGATTTTCCATTTAGATAAGAATAGCTGTTTATAATTCCAAGTAGAATATATTAGTCCTTCAAACTCATGCAACCTATGCTCTTGGTGGCAGTTCTCCAGGTCTGTATAATCAGATCTTCATACATTGCAGTCAGAATAAAGGTTATGCATCATTTTCACAGTTTTCATGTCAGGCTCACAAAACATTTCCTATTGCAAGACAGCAAGATCCTCTGTACAACTTCCTCTTTGTACCATCCTAGACATTTTGTCTGCATGCAGTAAAGTTTTCTTAACTTACCTCAAGTATCATATCACCCAAAACTAGTCCATCAGGTCCTTTAGCTGGGCTATCATCATCTACATCTGATACAAATATTCCATACAGATTTCCACCACATATCTGGATCCCAAGATCCACTTGGGATTTTTTAACAACAACAGTTCTCGGTTCAGGGGTCCTTTTGTTTGTGTCCACAGGGCCCCTTTTGATAGGAAGAAATAACAGATATAGTTCAATTTAAAATCTTGCATGAAGAGTATACAATCAACTAGCTGCCATGAACAATATACTAGGACAGCTCTGACAGTAATGTCTCCTATTTTATTATGTTGTTCCACAACAACAGAGGCAGATGTTAGTGGTATGGCAGTAGAGGTTGAACCTTCTCACAATATTCTGTTACATTCTGTTGCTGTGCAACAGATGGCAGCAGAGGGGCAGTGTGACAAAATAGCATCTGACATGGAAATGCAAATGAAGCAGAGGTGTGGAGTTAAATTTCTCCATGCAGAAAAAAAAAAAAAATTCACCTACTGACATTCTCTGATGTGTTGTGAACATTTATGGAGATGAAACAGTGGATATGAGAACAGTGAGGTGGTGGGTCGTGTGTTTCAGCAGTGGTGACAGTGACATGAAAGACAAGTCAATGTTCCAGACAGCCAGGCAGATTTTTACAAACTTGGCATGCAGGCTCTTGTCCATCACTGGTGAAATTGCAGCGCTGATGTTGGTGACTGTGTTCAGAGTGTTTTGTAGCTGACAATTTGCTGTACTGAACAATGCTATTGTGCTCTTTGTATTTATTGTAGCTTCCACAGAAATAAATAGGAGGCATTACTCTCAAAGCAACCTATGCATATCTATGGAATTATTATTTAAAATAGGCTATGTACAGATATAGTCATAAAACAAACTTCATGTTATTTACAGATCCTTTTAACTAAACCAGTCTCATATTACAGTTCCTCCACTCCTTGCAGACTCAATCTTTCAAATACAGACTGAAATCATGCAGTTTTACCTTGAGCCCAGTTAGTTTGTCTGCTAACTTATTTCAATCGGTCCACAATGTATACAAAACTACTTTTTACATCTATTCTGACAATACTTATTTTCTTCATTCAGGCAAAAATTGTTCTGTACCTAAAGGAATTTCGGGGACTTGTGGTCGGTGTGGTTTGTTTGGATGGGGGTGTCATTGTTCCTTCATCCTGTTCACTCACAGTATCGATTATGGAATGATTGTCAGGAGTTGCAGCTCCACTGCCTTGAGGGGTGGAATGATTACTCACAGGTTCTAGGCGAGAACTAATAGGAAAAGAGAATGAAAGGCTAGTGGCTAGCGTTTCACCAATGTCAAATATTTTTGATGCAAACAAACTTTTTAATATGTCAAATAATCTACATTATCCATAAATCCAAGAGAAAAATAAAGCTCAATCTTGAGGTTTGATCATGCATCTAAATGGGATAGATATTTCACTAAATCATACACTTTGTCTAATTTTGGGAAACTTTCCAAACTTCTCAACTATTAAAAAAAAAAATGGTTTGAAGTACCACAGTCTCCTAATCCTAGGAAGTCATTTTTAATTTTGGTTAAATTAACTATACTGAAATAAAAAAGAACATGTAAGTGTTATTTTGAGTCTAGCCACTCTTACCTTGATCGTGAATGATTGCCAAGCTGATACATGTGAGGGTTATACTGAGCCAGAATAGTAATTGTGTCACACTGTTGTCCAATGATTAATCGAGCCTGTTGCTCTGTAGCATTTCTCAAATTTATTCCATTAAACTACAGAAGAAACAAACAAGAAGTTGTCAAATTTTCAAATGGAAACTAGTAAAATCATTCTTTCAATCTCCTAGTCAATTCAACATTTAAATGTTGACTTATTTCAACAGGTGTAAATAGGACAATAGATGTCCTGCAATGATTCTTAAGTGTCTGAACTCCTTGGAAGGATTCACTAACTTTATTATTTGGCATCCCAAGCATGAGTTTAAAATCCTTTTACTACTGAAAGACATAAATATTCTGTACTGTGTTATGATTTGCTATAACTGATTACATGCAGATTGGTTCAGACTATTGATCAGAAAAAAAAAAACAAGACTTAAATATAAATTTATATCCATAATCAATTCAGGTCCATTTTCAGTCATTCACACATGCATTTGCAAAGCAACTCTTTACACATTGTAAAACTCTTTGTACATTGTAAAATCGTCTTCCATATATTTATTTAGTGCTTCAGATCAGAATCTTAATGCAGCTGATCTAACTGATTATTTTTTAAACAAGCTTATCCCAGGTATGGATATAACCAAACAATAGTAGCACGAAATAGTAGTACAAGCTAACTGTATTTACTCATCTTATCCCGGAGAGTATGACTTTGGGACTACGCTGTTTAAGTACCTAAACTAGCTAGTTTAAAATTGACATATAACAACTATAAAAGATGCACGCAGATCTACCATCAAGACATTTTATACTGATGCCTAACAAACAGCCACTAACAATCACACTTACTGGACTACCACAATACAGAATAACTCTGCCACTTCTCACAACACACAAGCTTTCACAAGGCGTTCTTTTGAAGAAGGTAGTTGTTTCAGGACTTGTACGAACAGATTAAAAGTCATAAGAATAGTAAGCAAACAATTACCTCTAGTAACTGATCACCGTACTCAAGTCCAGCTTGATGTGCAATACTCCCACCTGTTACTTTAGAGACAAATATTCCACCATTTTCTCCACTCACAATGGAAATTCCTAGTGGCTCAGAACCCTTCTGCACTTTAACATGACGTGGCTCTTCCATGTAGGGCCTTTTAGAGGAGAAGGTTAAAACTGATTTGAACAAAATCGCACTTAAACCATAACGAAGTCATTTTTATATGACACACTTTATGGCTATCTAAGTTGCAATAAAAAATATGTTTAAACAGTTACTTAAAAAAAAATTACTGTCAACTGCTGTAAACGCATTCCTTTAACACCATGCAATGTACAGTGGCAGAATTAAATGTATACCGATTACACAACTGCTATAAAGCGTTACGGTAAATATGAATTACAAATAGTATGGTGGGGAAGTTGGTAGGAAATGAATTTCCAGATCCATACTATATAAAAGTAGTTTAGCTACAGTATATAACATGTAATTTACAAACCATATTCCAGAAAGGTATGTGACTATTATAAATGCTGGGAGTCTTTACTGGCCATGAAAATAAATATCATAAATGATGAGACAAATCAAAGAAAAACAATGCACAATATCAGATTTCATATTTGTATGCAGGGAAACATAAATTAGTAATGAAAATTAAGCAGTTGCAAACTCAAGCCATTAAGACAGCAGTTTGCATGGTATCATTACAATTACCATGCAAATTCTCCTCAGGGCAATTATCCAAACGTAAAATAGCACAAAGTGCGCAATACTGCTTGCGAAGGACAACCTTATATCAGGCCAACCTCAAACTCCTTAGTGATGAGAACCTAGGCCTAGGAGCCACAGGGATTCTCAGAAAAGACCTATTACGGAACAGATATCTGAAAGATGGAGAAGATTTGAGAAGAAAAGAACACTTAGAAAAAGACACACAGCAATACAACACCAGTAAGTATAACAAGAAAATGGATCTTATGAAAGAAAATCCTGATACGTTCTCCTTTCCTCCCCCATACTTGGAGATGTATCCACCCATACAAACAGGGCTAGTCCCTCCATGGTGTGAATAAACAAATAGGAGCATCCCAAAAAGTACTGGTTCATGTTATGATTAACTCAACAGAGTCTACATAGTGAAAGGCATCACGGGGTATTCAGAATGGAACTACTTGGAACAGTGATGGATTTAGGTCCCACTAACAGTGACTGCAGGTCTTGGTAGCCCTTCTAGCACACAATTTTAATAGCATTATACTAGTTTTGATAAGTATTAATAGGAGAGTCTTCTTTCCTAACACTTGACTATATAAACTAGATACTCCCTAAGCTGTGCAGACTGTTTCAATTACTTAAATCCTGCTGTTCAGATATCTGATGAGTTAAAGGAAGTTAACTGCTACTAACATATGTAGCAAATGAAGGGTGCCTTTGGAAATAGTAGAATTTGGGGCACATGTGAGGGGAGGGAAGAAGACACAAATTCATAATAAACTATGCTTAATGTTTCACAGTCTTTGAAGGCAAGCATCTGGTAGTCTTCTGCAGCAAGGACATAACAACTTGTCAGTTATTATTGTACAACAGAAAAACTGTCAATTTGAGACAATCTTATCAAATCAACATCACTATTAGAGACAATACCTACCTACCTAAGCCTTTTACTTAATATCACAATGTGATTACATACTAATAGTCCAAAATAAAATTTGTCAAGGTCTAATAGCTGACTGAATACTAGAACTATATTTCTGTTATCTGTCATACCCTTATGTTTCCACCTACCACATGCATTTTCCATTTGGATTGGAATGAGTAAGAATCAAACCCACACAAATTGCACAGGATTGTACCTTAAGATTTTAGTAAATACCAAATGAAAGGCAACTAGTAATGCATATAGTAGGGAAACAAGAATGAAGTAAAACAGAACGGTAGCGTTAAAAATGTATCTTACTTTGGTAAGCAGTGTTTTTAAAATCAAATGAAGCACACTCTTCTACAGTACTCAAACTGCCTGCCAGAATCACTAAATGCTGCTGTTTAGAAATAAGTTGTAATTGATCACATTTCTTTAAATTTTCGTTTAAATTGGTTTTCCTAAAAAAAAAATAAAAATAAAAATAAAAATAAAAATAAAAATAAAAATAAAAATAAAAATTGATCAACAGAACAAACTTTTTTTTAATCTGTATTATATGATATGGGGAAAGGCCAAGCAAATTGCTTATATTCTGTGGGGAGGATAGGTGACAAAAAAACAACCATTTAAAGATGCTATCTAGGCATCATCACACATTTGTTTAGGATACATTTAATTCAGAAATACCTATTTTAATAAGCCTTTGTATTTCTGGGATGTGTGGTTTTTTTCCTGAACAAAATAATATTCTTTTGCAACTGAGGGAGTCATCCAGACTTCTGCTTATACATGGTACACCAAGAATAAAAGGGTTGGAGCCTGACTGTATTTTGACCTTTGGATCAATATTAATAAAAAAATCTTAATTCCCAGAGATTAGAATGTACATTTTGTACTGACAAAGCATTATTAGGATATCAAAAAGCTAGCTTTTGCCACTGAACACTATAAATAATCATTAGTCATGTGAAAAAGATAATAAATTGTGACTTGGAATTTGCAATTGACAAGTAGAACACTCATATAAGAAAACAAATATAGCACAAAAGTCAAAAAGAAGTATAAAAGCATGAAAAACCCACAAAGACCTCTTCCATTCCCTTTCAAAGTTGCACTGCATACAGTATATAGCGTCACTACAATAACTTAGTTACAGATTCTTTTAACTACATAAAAAACATTTCATATAACATTTTATAAATAGCTTTTTATTACTACCAGCAAACTTAGGATACAGAATATCCTTATTCCTTCATTCACATTCTTATAGTCAGTCCTTTTACACAAGTTGGGCAATACAAGACAGTCCTAAAGTCCACATAAATGTAATCTATTTCAGCACATCATAGATCTCTTATACTACCCAGAAGACATTTAGTTGTCTCAGTGTGAAGAAAAGCCTGAAACAGATTTGTGTTTTATTGGCCAATGCTTTGAATTCATACAAACTGTTTCATATATTCAGTCTAGCCAGATAGTGATGTCCAAGACTGATACCATAAACAACAAATCTTGAATGTATTCATAATGAGATGAAAATTCAGTAACAGACAAATTTAACCATCTTAAGAAAACAACATCAGGTTCAAACTGTGCAAGCAGCTATGCAAAGACTTGATGCTATAGCTCTTACTGGTCCAGGTACAGCCAAGAGGATCACAATAGATTATTACGTACGGATATATTCTTGCACTAACCATCTCATTTTTATTTATCTGGCTGAACTGAATCAAGGCAAAGAAGTTAGAGCACATATTGTACAATACTAAGCCAGTTGATATTTAACTATCACATATTACTAGGTATTTTATTTAGTTTTCTAGAGTACAGAACAAGCCTATCATAAATAAGCATCTGAGCTCAAGTGAATGTATCTCAATTTAGACTGTATTTGGCATGGCCATTAATCTAACGTGAAAAAAAGGAAATCTTTATGAAATTCCTTATGTTTCTGAACTGAAGACATAGGTTTTAAAGAAGAAATTTATACAAAGATCTCTATGTACTTTGTAAAGAAAAGAAAAACATTAAGTAACAGGAACTCAAATGCATCTCTGTGCCTTCATATTCATCATTTATATCAACTGTTCACATTCCTTCCAAGCCGATAAATGTACAAGATATCATTGGACACATTCCTATAAAAAGCAAATAATGTGGGGACCTTACCTATCTTTCCTACGTTCTCCAGCAGATACTGGGCTAATGGAAATTCTAGGTAAAGTAGAAAGGGAGTTCTGAGATTGGCTGCTGGCAAAGGAAGATGTTTCCAAGTTAAGAGGTGACTGGGGAGGAGTTATCAAGCTGGGACTGCTACATTCAGAGTGTGACAAAGAGCCTACAAAACCAAATCAAAACAAAAACATAAAATCAAGTTAGGTTTTAGTGTACTGCATTTGTCGTAATTCAGAGATCTACAGAGACATAGGGAATGATACAGTACATATCTGACCAAACCATTTGCTAGCAATCTGGTAGAGCTAAGGGAAGCCAGTCTTCTAACTTCGGTAACTAAATTTAGACTTTGCAAACTCACTGCCCCTAGTGTCTATATAACAAATGTCCTCTATAAACATGCATATACGTACTGCCATTCTCACCATAGAAAGCTGGTACAGAAAAGGAACATTCAGTAGTTTGCTTCCTCTGAAAAAGCTACAAAAAATACATCTCAAATTGCTAATTATGAAACTAAAAAGACCAACTAACAGTTGCCATTTACTGTAATAGAATTTTTAATGTACAATCAGTAATAAAATAGTATGAAAAATAACATTTAAATAATTTTAAAAATACTGTAGGTAATTTCACTGTCAAAACATTTAAGACATCATTACACAAGAAAAGTGCAACCATAAAACACAGCTCAATAGTTACTTTTTTGTTTCATTTTTTCTAGTATGTCATGGCCTAGAATCAACTAACAGAGAGGTTTTTGTTAGATTTTTGCTTTTTGTTAGATTTTTTTTTTAAATTACACTGTATCAAAATACAGATTTTGTAACATTCATAAAATTATTGTATTTAGATTTTTGAGCAACTTCATTTAGTAACTGACAAGGCTTTGAACTGGAAATAGTGAAAATACTACAAATAAAATTACCTCTGTCAGAGCCCATGACGGACCTTGGATATCTTGGCGTTAAAGGGATCTTAATCCTTTCTGTTCTGTACTGCAAGTTACTCGAAGAACCTATTTTTAGAATAACAAAATTATACCTTGCCAAATTTTAAAGGAATAACATGAAAAAAAAACATTTACCCTCTACTTTTTCAATAAGCAGAAAAATGGGTTCTGAATTTCTGCAGAAGCATTAATGATTATTCTCATATACATTGTGTCTAACATACTTCTGATAGTTACATGGTGAGTACAAACAGCGCGGTGCAGTCATACAGTGCATATGTACAGTTCATTCTTCATTGAAAAATATTTAAAATTTTTGATACAACTGCAATTTAACTGAAGTCTAAGCAAGAAACTAACACTTGAGGTTTCTAAGAACCCATGGGCCTTGACAAAAGGTATTTAAAGCATTTTTATTAAATTCTGCTTGGATGAAGACATTATTCCCTGGTACTGTTTCCTAACTGCTGTGACTTTTTGTTGCCGTTGCAGCTACAAAGCTGGCATGCTTTACTCAAATGCAATTATAATAACTGATGGAACTCAGGAACACATACATGCACAAAAAAGGTAGTACGTAATTCAAAGTGAAAAAAAATTCTATAATGTTAAAATGCTTAAACAAAACATACATTTTCTTCAGTTCTATTAAGATACATGTCAGTGTATGTTATGTCAATGTCAATCAAGTAAACACAATTGCAACTATTTCCAACAAGATGATTTACAGCAGGTTATTACTTTTTTGTTCTGGATGCTCTTTCCTTTTCTCGTCTCCACCTCAGTAAACCTCAAATATAATTTGGCTGGACATTCCATCTTCATAAGAATACTTCCAAATAGTAATAGGTTTTGAAATGAGAATTTTGCATCACTCACAAATAATACTTTAAAAGACACTATTAACAGCAAATTAAACAAGGCTACTTCCAGGGAACGCCACTGAGCATAAAACTAGAAAAATGAAGCAAAGAAACTCAGGAAGCCTTTTAGGCTTTGCAAACTTTGGCAATTCTATAAATCATGAAAATAAGGAATTTTCCATTCATTATTATTCTCTTGTATGGAAGAGTCTCACATGAATTAAATCAGAAAAGCAAGTTACCAAGTCTTGCACTGGATGGCAGTGAATTTGAGCCATGAGATGCTCTTGTACGTGGATTTTCAGAGTATTCATTGGAGTGCTTATGACTCAGGTCCAAGCTCAAGCGACCTTGATGCTGGGCACTACATCAAAACAAAAAACAGGGCAACAGTCAGAACTGGGTGAAGTGTCTCAGCAAACAATAAAGTAGCCAACAGACAATTTTGATTATCCTTATCCTGAGTAAAATGAATTCTCCTCTACTTCTCACTTCCTAATTGTCCTGTCATTTTACTAATTAAGACAACTCAGAGAAAAGAGAGCCTAAAGTGCTTTGAAAAAGATGGAAAGACTTCGTTCAAAAGATTAAAACAAACAAACAACAAAACAACAACATTACAAAGTAGTTGATTAAAAAAGCAATTTCTTTTTCAGCATTAGTCAGCAGAAGAGGAGGGAAAGACAAATGATCAGTTTCTGAAAGACATGAAAGCAATTGGCAAATCATGCTATTGAGAAGTTTGAGTCTAATAGTGTTTCACTCCACACTGAACAAACCAGCTACCTGAAGCAATTTCATCCTAACGCGAACAAAAACTTAAGGTGATAGAAAGTTCAAAACACCTGGGATGCAGATGCTGATGGCATATTTGGCTGGCAACGGATGGGCAATTGTTGGTGTGTACTCTGTGGCTCCACGCAGTATAGATGGGATTTCGCATGACTGCAGTTACTGCAGGGCACGGTGCTAAGCTTCTTGGTACAGTACCTGTTTAAGATGACAGAAATACACTCTTACCAACATTACTAGCATATAAATTACAGGTATATTTAATACAGTATATTTAAATAGTTGCATAATTATATATTGTTGTTTACATTTGTGTTTATCTATAATTACAATTTATCACCATATAGGCAAATAATAATTCCATGCTTTTTAAGTACAACGTGGTATTTTGAATCTGGATTATAATTTTCTACCGTCAGTAAATTAAGTGCCTTGGGACTACAGAAAAAAAAATCATTCACATCATTTTTAAATATACCTAAAACACTTTGTTTTCAACTGTTAAACTTCTTTATACAGCAACAAGAATCTCATTTTTCTCTGTATAGTCATCTGCCAGAAACAGAAGTTTTTATTCCGTACTTAAACTATCTGCAGTTAAAACCATTTGACCATTCTTGTTCTTCTGTTGTCTTAGAATCCCACTTCTGACATGTTTGATGGTTTTGGAATACAGTATTTCATATCTATTTATTCAGAAAACGTATTATTTAAGCTGTTCATTGAAATCACTCATCCTTTAGTACTCTATTAGATCAATTTCCTCTCATTTAGAGTATTATAGCATAATACGCTACAGCAAAAAACTTGCATTTCAAGATATATCATCTAATGTAGATTTGATTTGAGTAGGTTATATAACACGAAAGACGGAAACTGATATGAAAAAGAGTAACAAATCACAGAACAAAAGTTTCTTTGAGCTGAGATACAATTGAGCATGTATTTACATTCTGAAAACTGGATGGGACGACTGGGTCTAAAACTGCCCGTTATTCTGTATACACAAGTCATTACCTCTGACATAAACTTCAATAAGTTTGCCATAATTTTGAATCTAAGCAGCAACTTATGGATTGCAGAAAAAATTGAGGGTAAATTCATAAAAATCAAATGTTTTCTTGGACTGAAAATCAAGTATCAAATGTAACTGCTGAAGCTAACTACAATCCACTTGTCAACAGGTCTAACCAGGGCTAACCAAAATGCATCCTGACCGGTTTAAAATAACTGGTGTACAATAACCTTATTAGCTCTTCAAGGCACTCTGTTTAGTCTGTGCCAACTTCAAAGCAGCTAGTTTGGATAACTGAGACAACGTGCTTTCTGTTTTCCATCTTACCTGATCATATTGATTTTTGTGTGAGCTGCTTCTGAGACTCTTCCTCAACAGCTTTGAATCTCAGATACGCTAACTTTTAATCTTTAATTTAGATACACTAAGATCACAACCAATTGGGGCATTCTATCTCATATATCTCAGTTCCCAACAGATAGAGACTAATATGCGACAATTTCTGAATATCAAGTCTTTTTGCTTTGAAGTACTTCAGAATCTGACTGTAGGTAACATGCAGGCTGCATCCACTTACTGTTCACTTTCAAAATATCTGGAAATCTTATTTGTCTCCCTATGCACAGGCTACAAGTTGTTCACCACTAACACATTTGAAATTCCTGTACAACACAGAATCACATGAAACAAATCCTTCAGATGAGAGCTGTTCAGTTTCTTTGATGGCTCTCCAATACATTAGACTTCTTTACAGTCCATAAACTGAAAATATCATGTTCAGATTACAAAAGAACAGAAAAATATGTTTTGTATTTCATATTTCTTTTGCCTTATCTTGACTGATATAGGCAGATTCCTTGCAGCATTCCAAGAAAGTAAATATGAGTTCTTACCTAATTCTAGGGAAGATATTTAGAATATAAGAATGTAACTGAGCTTATTTCTGGAATACAGTAATTTACAGGGTGAAATTTTACAGTTAGTATTCAGGATCTCAGGAAAGAAGTCCATGCTGGACATCTCTGACTTGAGTAAAAAGAGGCACTTGCCGTCCACATCAGCATCACTCACCTGACGACATGCCTCCAGTGTACAAAGTGGAAGACACAAAGCCATCACTATGCCTAGCAGAACGTTTTGGTGAATACAGTGCCCATTCCTGTACCTCTGGAGACAGGTGTTCCTCACTAGCCGGTGTATATTTTTGCACCTATAAAACCAGAAAATTTGATTAAAGGCAGTTGGAGATACAGAAGAAAAAAAACACTTAAATTCCATAGGCAATAATCAATTTCAAATTTTTCAGTATGTATTCCAGAATATGCTTGCCACCACTTAATATGACAAGATATAACATAGTTGTTATATCTTTACTTCATCTTCCACTAGTATTATTCAGTTCTACCCCTTCTTCCTCCAAGCCTCCAGTTGCTACTATTTTGTAAGCTTCTTAGGCCAAAGTTTGAAACTTATCTGATATATTTTCCATCAGTACAGTACACCTGAGTTACACTTCTCCTTCAAAATATTACTATCACAAAATATTTCAAGCTTAGATTGCATTCTTTAGCACATGTACTCCATATTACTTTAGCCACTACTGCAAGTGTTGCCAAATGAGAGCTGGCTAATAAGCCACAAAATATTTTCCTCTAAGTCTGCATAATGACATCATCAACATAATGATACATGTTGTGGAGCCATTGTAGTTTATGTTCTGCATGCAGTGAACAGACACTGGTGTCAGCCATTCTCCCTAGCTTTGTACCATCAACAAACTTGAGGAAGGTGCATTCTATCCCTTCACCCAGGTCACTGATGAAAATGTTGAGCAAGACCACACCCAGACTTAGCGTGGTTTTAGTACACAAAGACCATTCCATCAAAATCATTTTCAGAGTGAATGGTCTCAACTCAGAGGCACAATACCATCACTGTTCTCTAGTCAACAATTTTAGAGTTAAATCCCTCATTACTTTCTTAGATACTGGAGAGAAACTAAGGGAGCTGGAAAAACAAAAAAAAAAACAACACAGAACTCAGACTTAATTTAACCCTAGAGATGGAAATGTGCAAATACCTCAAGTAACCTTAAAAAAAAAAAAAAAAAAAAAAAAGAATTTCTAAGTCTATAATATAATTTTGTTTTTCTCCATAGACCAATACTTATATGATTATTCTGGCATAGCAAGGTACAGAGCAGGAAAGGTAAAGAAAATGATATTCTAAGTTCTTTTGATGTTGATTAGATGCAAGGAAAAATAACTCTTTAAAACTTGAGATTTCAGGTGGCAAATACACATTGCACTTTTTTTCCAAACTGAACAAACCTGAGATGGTGGACCCAAAACTTCATTTTATGTGGTCACTTAAACAGGCTAGTCATCCTAGATCACAGAGAATTTTTTCTCGACCTTCCCTGGTAGGATGTTACCCAAAATCTCCACAGTCAAATTTGTTTAAACAAATGACAGGCCTACTTTGAACAATGTTGCTAAATCATATTCTTATAAACAGTCCATCTTTATAGTGCAATGAGTATATTGCTCTGCCAATTTCAGATTACATTAGCACTTATGTAGACGGACAAAATAAAAAACGTCACTATGAATGGTAAATCTTTTTCCCCTAATCTGTAGATTTGAGCCAAAGAGATTTCTGAAGCCTTTGGGTAAGCTCCTACTTACAGGAAAGAGCACTGATCCTCCACAGAAAACAGTGAAAATCAAAATGGAGTTACAAAATAGAACCCAATCATTCTGTTTGGTGGCCTTGTATTTTGTGATACTTGCAACAATTGAAGGAGTAGCTCCTCAAGGGACTTAGATTTTGTGAACGGGCTTCGTATTCACATCAAAGCCAAAAAAAAAACCCAACAGATTTTCATAGCAAAATTTTACCTGAAGCGCAGGATTAGGAATGGGCATAGGGGCCATTTTATGTCTCAGAGCAGGAGCAGATTTTGGCCTTGGCCTTTTTATCTCTGGCTCTTCAACTCTTTGAAAGCCGATGTCATCTTCACAGGATTTCCTTGAGGAGAGATGAGTACAGTCAATTCCCTCCTCACGATAATAATTTCCAGCATTCCTGTTGCGTCCCTTGAGAGTAGCAGAGTCTTGTTTAAGTGCCAAGGAAACTGGAGCTTGGGCAGTGGCTGGGCTGGTAGGTGGTGATCCAGTTGTTACTGTAGACTCTGAAGCAGAGCTTGCCTGCTGTTTATGTTTAAATTTGATGGAGTCACTTCTCTTAGGAGGAGTTGGAGGAGTTGAAGCCACTTCAGCTTTTGATGGCTGAGGTGAATGGCCTGTCACCTGATTTGGAGAAAGGTACTCTGGCTTAGGAGGAGTTGGTGGCCTTTTGAAAGTATCAGGATCAAAGATAGATTTCCTTTGTTTTGGCTTTTTGTACACAGAAAACTTTTCTGTTTCTGCTGCTGAGATATTAACCATGACTTTCGGCCAGGTACCACCACTATGCTTAGTACCATGTCCTTTGTCAAATGTAGTCTCAACCACCATACAGTCATTATCTGTAGGTTCATAAGGCAGCCTCCTGTTGTCCAAGTCAACAACTCCATAGCCTCGGTCCCCATATGTCTCTGGGTTGAAGGAGCTGAGACTATGTTCTGAATTACTGTGGCAACTGTGCACTGTGTTCCTATGAGAGTCTACTCGTAACGTGTTGTTAGGGAAGGGTTTGTGATCACAAAATGAACGACTGCCCTGATCATTCTGGTCTTTCTTGACATCCATGATGTCTGGATTGAAAATGTCAGTCTGTGTTGAGCTGTTGAGTTTCAGATTTCTTTTGTTTTGGGCTTGTATTTCTGATGCATGAACCCTACAATTTGATATTTTTTCTGAATCCTTCAGATTTTCAAATATATTTTGACCACTCCAAGACGAACTCTGAGGAAAAACCTAAAAAAGAACCAACAAAAATTAAAAACACAACAACAATAACCTACTACATAACCTTAACTAAGTCTGATTTCTATTTAATTTCTGCTTAGCACAAATTATATTCTAGTCTTCTTTATTTACTTCAACCTGAATCTGCATATGTGTGGATACATTTGGGAAAAATTTAATAAAAGTCTTGCAGATTCAAAGCAAAAGATGGATAAAATGAAGCCAGATTTTTCTCTGAAACAATTTCAAAAGGGCAAATCTACATGGTGGCAGAAGCACTGAGCAAACAGCAAAAGGACCTCAACACCACTTCTATTTCTGTTCAATGACACTAGTAATCATCTTTCATTGCCCACTGCTTCACAAACATTTTTTTTTCAGTTTCTTAAAAACTCACGCTCTCACAAGCTGGAATTATCACTGACTGAACCTTTTTGACAGGTCCAGTGTAATGGGATTCTAACCGAAACAATATTTTTATAACACTAAGTTTGAAAAAGAGCTAGTACTTATCCCTGATGATAGAGTTCAGTTTTCTGTGCAACTCCCTCCTGGCCAACAGTAAACTATAGTCAGGAAGCAATTTATCTTTCACAAACAAAACTGCTGCAGCAGTTTTGAAGTAGAAAGCAGTAAGAAAGAAACAACTGTGCTGACAGTCATTTAGTGTGACCAGCAAAGAAATGGGGAAAAAAAATACGAGCAATAAATAAATTCTATTTCCTACCAGAAGGCACAATGTCCTTACTCTGGAAATAACTATTTAGTGTACCATCACTGAAATACATCCAGATGATCTTGTTATTAGCAAAGACTTTCCCATGGTGATATATTCATTTTTAATACACTCTTTCCTTAAGAAGTAAGATAAATCTGTTAAAGAAAATTCTGCAAGTTTAGCTTTTCCTACTCACCTTCAATAATGACAGAGTAAGGGAATCCCTGCAGTTTCGTAACAAAGCTTCACATTCATTAAGTGACTTATTATCTAGTGCAATGCCATTGATCTACATATAAAACAAAACAAAACAAACAAAAAAAAACAAAAAACAAAACACAATTGAGATACATAAAATGAAAGCAGCAGATGGAGAACACCTAAACGTATTGCCTCTGAGAGAGGGAAAGCACGGTTTTGTGTGTCATGCACATAACTGAAGTCAGGTTGACTATATCATGCATTTACCTGTTCTCCACCAGAAGCTTAGTCTCCTACATATTTTTATTTCTAGTAGAGATACTATTTAGTAACACTTGTTTGATTACGTTAGACTTTATGCATTTGTACGTCCGTAGTAATGACATTTTGTCTCACAGGAGCTCATAAATCATAAATAAAAAAATACAAATCAGAAGAACGTATTCAGACTTACAGCAATTATTCTGTCTCCCACAGTAAGGGAACCCTCTTTGGCAGCTGGGCTTCCAGGCACAACAGCAGCAACAAATATTCCATTTTCTAGACTTACTCCACTATCTGAAATTCACAAAATAAACATTAATTTACTCCTGCAATTCAAATAACTACACATGTGACCTGCATACAGGATTAAGAAATATAACTACCAAAGCAAATGAGATCTCAATCTCTAACAACCCTTCCAAAGAAAGGCAAAAACATGAAAATAGAGATTTGGAGTATCCCAGAACTTAATGTGATTATACACACTAGGACTGACTGGTTGGTTTAGCTTTGTAGAAGTGTGAAAATAAAATTCATTATATTTATGGAATAAACCTATCACAAATATGATCATTCTTAGTTTGATGACAACAATTCATGAAAATCACTATCTAGTAGGTAGTAACAGCTGAAATGAGTTTTAAATAGAAGCTCAGAACATGTACTTCAATTTCAAGACATTGTTGGATGGACAAATGGGTACCATTTACATCCAGCCTTCATATCCATTACCTTTATGCCCAGAAACATTGATGTGAAGTGGTGTTATCACTCGTCCACCCAAGGACTTCCTTCTTCGAACCACCATGTTAATAACACCTCCTCCATTTAAGACAGCTTTTATAACTTGCTTTTTATCCTTATTAGTAAGATCGACATCATTTATCTTCAGCAACCAATCATTTACTCTGGCAGATAAATACAAATAGGAAGAAGTCGCTGTTACAAGCATGCTGGATGTAGCACATACATAACATTCAGGAAAATGGATACAATGGAATTGATATCTTAAAATGCTAATCCTCAATTATCTAAATATTTTAGGTATTGGTCTTGTCAGTGCCATTTCCTCATCAATATTACTAAGGTAGACATGGTCAATTATAAAAAAAGAAATAGTCAAAACTGAAGACTTTGTAATATGCTCAATATTTTGTTTATGATTAACAAAAAGACATGCCTTCCAAAGTAAAACCCTACCTTAATCGACCATCCACAACACTTCCTTTGTCTACTTTGGTAACAAAGATCCCACAATCTCCAGGGAGGTATGGTTCATTTACACCTTCTGCCACATCAAAACCAAGTGCTTTCAAGTCCATATCATCCTAATAAAAAATATTAACAAGAGACTCAATTGTACTGACAATTACATTGTGCCTTTGCCTGCTCACAAGAGGCATTTCTTTAAGCTTGTCCTATGTCCTCATATTTACAAAGTATCTTTTATGGGTAAATTCTTGTATTTTTTACTTCAGTATATAAGCTCACAGTTTCATCGGGCATTAGACCATAGGGCATTAGGACAATCATTCATAGATCATAGTATCATTGTACTAAGTAAATATTATTTCTCCCATTTTTGAGCTGAGTGATAATGCAGAATACTGGCATAAGCAGACAGGTGGTGCTGAAGCAAAAATAAAGTGATTTAGACTTATTCACTTCCATAATCTCCACACAGAAATTAAAATGCTGGTAAGGTCAACAAGGATTTCCTCATGTATCCTATCAAGGTTGGCACAATATCATTACTACAATTTGATGCCTAGATGCTGTTGTAAGTGAAAGACAGCGTGGAAGACTGTATGTATGCATGTTCTACAGGGTCAAAAAATGACCTCTAGCAAACAGTGAGCCGCATCTATCAAAAATTTTAATTAGAAAATGATACACATCTTGAATAAAGAACAGTGAAATATGAACTCCAGACTACAAAGAGGAAAAACAAAATGAAATTATACAATTAGAATAATAAAAGGATGAAGAAGTTTTCTTCACGGTGTAGCATCCTTTCAACACAGAAGTCTAAACTGAAGGGCAATGCTGCACTAAAATAATGTTCATTAAATTTTACTGCCATATCTGAGTAGGAAGAGGTGAAATAGTTTCACGTTAGTGCTTAACTATTCCATGCACAGATAATAAATGATGTTGCCTTCTAAAGTAGGTGCCATTGCATCTTAAGCTTGTGCCAAATTACTGCCATTTCTGTGATAAATCACCGATTTTAAGAATACAGGATTTAACTTTGCAAGAGAGAGAACTATTTTTATTTATTCTCAGTATGAAAAAAAGAAAAAGTTTGTACGTTAATAACTTGTTTTTGTCAACTTGTTTCATCTAGATGTTATTTGAAATGTGCCTGGCTCCCATCACTAAAGAGAATTTAAAAAAAAAAAAAAACCAATGCATATAGCATCAAGATGTTATAATAGACTTCAAAATTGATCAGTATACAAAATAATGCAGTTAGCATCTTTGACTCACTCTGTCTTTTTCAAATTCCACTACTTCTGTTTCCCATTCCAGAGAATCTGTGTCTATGGCTGAGTCATGGGAACTATGGGCCATCAGTTGACGGAATCTGGCCTCCTTTTCCAACTGATTCTCCATCTTCTCTCTAAGGAAATAAAATACTTATATACACAGAGAAGCCCTTTAAAAAAAATGACGCATAACACTATAATTGTGAGATGTTTTCTTAGTAAAAAAATCCAAGCTGCGCCAGAAAGCTGCCCTCTGCTTCTATTTTTCCAGTATCCTTTGGCTACTGCTGAATATTTTCATTTTCTATATATCATGCTAACTCACTTTAACTTTTTTGTTTTTTGCATTGCTTTTGTATGGCTGTCATGTACAACTAGAATTCCTACATAACTCTTCCAAACTGCATCTAATTTACCCTCAGATGAATCGCAACAGTACGCTTACAGGTGCACATAATATCAAAAGCAAAATCTTCTCAACAAATCATTGACAGAACATATAATGTTTTGTTTTTTTTTTTGTTTTTTTTTTTTGCATTCATAAACTAAGGAGATTACAGTTGAGAGGAACTAAACTGCAATTAATCCAACTTCAGTGAAAGAGTTCATTGAAATGTATCTCCACAGTAAAAGGCTTAAAAATCTTTCTCATTAATATGATAAAACAGTTAAAATTGGAGGACTTAGAACCTCATACTTCCACATAAGTGAAAACAATTCTAGTGACATATTGCTCATTCACAGTCGCAATTAATGAACCAAAGTTTTTTATCACAAAGATTCCACAGATTTTAATATATCCTACAACATACTTCAGTTCCTTCAGTTCACGCACTGCATCATTTTTCTGCTTCCTCATGTCATCCAGATTGCGAAGAGCTTCAGCCAAGTCACTCACAGCTCGGTCTCTCTCCCTCCGTAAGTTGTCACACAGAGTCCTTTAAAAGCAAAAAAGTAGTTTCACAAAATCTCAGAAAAAAAAAAAAATGAAGCGGAAAAAATTACATTCTCCATACTTTATGAAAAAGCTTGTCAGGACAACTGAAGCTTTCTTCACCTCTTACAATACTTTATTTTTACTGATCTTCTTTAGAACAGAAAAAAATTCCAGTGAAATTTTTTCCCTTAATTCCTTACATGTGTCTAATAACAAGATAGGTATCCTTTGTCAGATATCCCCAAAGGTAAATAATTATTTGAAGGACTGTAGCCATAGCAAAGTATATCAGGACTAAAACAAGCCTTCATTTGTCATTCGTAGCCAGCAGTCTGATAGGCTCTCTGATATTTACTTACAGACATGTTATGGTGATAAAAGAACAGACAAAACAAAATGTCTGGTAACATGCTCTCAACTTCAAACAAACAAATCCACTGATAGTTAATGCACAAGTTCCAACCAGTTAAAAAAATTGCAAGCAAAATCCAATAAGTCCTAGAACTTCAATAGCTGCACAGAAGGTATTACAATGTATCTGTCATGTACCAGCTAACATTTATTTACCGTATACTTTCCCTTTCTGCAACAATCTTATCTCGCTCTTGGAAAGCCCAGTCTCTTCTGCACTTGGCTACTTCTGCTTCCTGGACAGCTTCCTTTAGTTCTTGTGACATAGCCTCATATTGTTTCCGAAGCATTTCAATTTCTTTGTTTGCTCTTTCTATGTCTAAGGTAGCAGAATCTTGTATCTAAATTAAGAAACATAGGTAAGGATTTTAGGCACAACTTTTAGGTACTCACTATTTACTGGGACAACAATTTCCACAAATAAGAATCTCACTTCAAAATAACATCAATGAACACATTATATTTCTGAGGTAACACACCATGCTTATATCCTGCTCTGCTTAATACACAAGATCCTTCAAGAATATTTAGTAATTTGATACACTATTATGAGTAGTTATAATACAGATTTCCTGCACTAATGTCTGTTAACTGCCCTGGGACTATGCTCTCCCTCTCTGTCTACAGAGAGAGATACAGATATACCGTCTTCATAATAAGAATGCGTACAAATTAAAACATTTACAATCATATTTCATTTAACTTTGGTTATTACATGCTAAAACCAGCTAACGTTCTGAACTGGTCACAGGCATGAACACCATACAGTATAGAGGGCATCAAGCCTACCAGCAGGTAATAAGCTGCGAAGAAACCTGCTGTGTTACAATATTTTATTGACTTTATGTATTTTTTAATTTAAAAAAATAAACCAAAACAAAAAAAGCCCTGAAACTTAACATGAAGTGTGACTGTATATCACTATTTCTTAAAGAAGATACATACATTTATACAAATATCTTCTACAGTGACTCCAGGCAAAGGAAAAAACACCCAGAATGCCCAGATTTTGATCAAGTCTCATTAAAATAACTGATTCCTAATAGCTAAGAAGGAAAAGTCATCAGTAAACAACTGCAATACCTGACGGGCTTGATAGTATTCCCTTAATAGATGGTCCCTTTGGATTATGGCTTCTGTTCTCTCTTTCCTGGCAACATCTCTTTCTTCCTTCACTGTCTCTATATCCTTGCAAGCTTGATCAAGCTCCTTCTGGGCCTCAGCTTTGTCCTTCACTTCATGACAGTATTTTTCCAGCAACTCATTCCTCTCACAAATTGCTCGATCTCTTTCCACTAAAGCTGAGTTCAGCTCCTAAAACAAGATCCATTGTTCCCAGCAGGTTAAGCACAGAAGGAATCAGTTCATCTTTTCAACTGCATATACACTGATACTTTAAAATCCTAGAGAGTCTGCAACAAACATTCTGAAAAAGGGAGCAGAATAAGACTGCACTTACATTACATACAAGAAGTATTAGCAAAGAATATTAAGTGTGGTACTACAGGTTTCACATCACCAGCATGTCTAGCAAATTGATTTGACAGAACAAAGAAGAAATACATTAAGTAATATGTGTCTCATGAATGACTTGCAGTACATTTCATGTACGTGTTCAACTGCTGAGGACTAGAAACAAGAAATAGGTATTTTAGTATGTTTCTATAAAGAGTGAGGCATTGAAACAGTTGAATTTCAGATTTTTAGGTGCTCCAACTTTCTAGGAACATTCAGCAAGAGCTACAAAGAAGCCTTTCTATATAAAGACACTCTTTTGAGCTGGAAAGCATTTATATTTTTATTTTAAAAAATTTATCAAAGATAGCTGACATCTGAAAAGCAAAGGCAGAAAAGCGTCCAATGTGTAAAGATAGAAAGACAAGAAAGGCATCATGCCACATTCTCTACTTTACCCTGTGATTCGCATAGAATAAAATTGTATATTTAAAGCATAGAAGACAATTATTATATAATTGGTTTTGTGTTACAACATCTAATTAAGGCTATTCAAGTTGTTAAAACAGTTCTGTAATTGCTTTAAAACAGGTAATTTTGTGCTAAAGCAGCAGGTAAGTTGTAGAATCAATGTTTCAGCTTGTGAATTTTGAAGATATCATTGAATCTCAATTAACAGAGAACTCAAGCTTGGGTTTTGGGTTTTTTTGTTGTTCTGTTTGCTTGTATATTTTTGACTTAACATCAGTAAAAGCTTTAGTTGCTCAATAAATGAAGAGAGAAATTCCCAACCCATATGGTCATGCAAACAAATTTCAGTAATGAAAGCAACATTTTGCACAGTTTAACTATTGTGCAACCAAGCACATGTCTTAAACTCACACTAAAATATTAATTCTTTTGTAGCATGCAGCAGAGGAGAAAGTCACCACAGTATCAAGAGAGAAGACCCTTAATTGAAGAAGAATCTAAGGTACTCTACAATGATTGGGAAAAAAGCCCAGAACATTCTGCCATAGTTTATTCCAGCATGCTTGGTATAAACTATGTGAAGAAGAGTAGTTGTTGCCTCCAGTGGTCAGTAGTAAAATTTCACTTCTGTCTTTTCCTGTGACAACTGCACAGAACTACAACATGACAGCATAAACTATCAGCCATTTAGCACTGGTAAGAGCAGATACTGTTATGAAACACTACAGTGCTTTGATTTTAATAAAGCTGTAAAATGGTAAGTTAGCCTTATGTTTGAAGCAGTTTTTGCATTTGAAAATGATACAATAATCTCATATAGGACAAAACACAACAGCTCTATTAAACAGAAGGGAAGGCTGACTGCCAATAGTTTTGAATTTAGACATTAAATTAGGAAACAGACTCAATCAGTAACTGCTCACAATGAAATATTTAAAAATAATTCCTCCATTTCAGCAGCTTTTACATTTCTTCTGGACAAAAGGTAAACATACACAAGCTTCACAAAAGGAACTACATTTAAAACCTAAATGTGCTACCACAACCATTTACTGAGTATGGGGTAATGGCATGTAAAGCTGCTGTACAGCAGAAGGAGGCACAATTTGGCAAGCACCAGAGCAACCAGTTTCATATAGGAAAATCCTGCCTACACAGGGACATCTTGTGGGATACTACTTGAAATGATTACTTGATTGATAACTTTTTTCGACCTTTTCAACACCTGCCTTGCCAGAGCTAGAAAATCCCTTATCCACCAAATGCAACTGCAGCAAGCCAATACAATGTTCCAATACAGGAACATACCTGATCACAAGCACAAGAGTCACAGCTACAGGAAAGGAAAAACAAGAATGAAAAGAAAACTCATAATTGTGGCATTTTACACAATTTAGCACAATACAGAGTTATTTCAGCTTTCTGATGGGCCTGTTCTGGGGAGTGAAGAAAAATGCATGTCTGCAGCCTCTCAGTATCTCATTCACCAGTCCTAAGCTCTTTCCATTCTTTCTCAACCAGCCATTCAAGATGGCCATTTTAGTAGGAGGGAACACACATGTATTTTAAATCTTCTCTCCTTTTTATGGAAGTACTTTGGAAAACTACCCACAGTGCCAGGAAAAAATACCAGGATTATTTGAAGCAGGTGTGCAAGAGAACTACCACTGCCATCAGTATTTTCAAGCTCAGGGAGGGTAGATTCAGGTTAGATAAAAGGAAAAAAACTTTTACAATGAGGGTGTTGAGGCAGTGGGACAGGTTGTCTGGTGATGTGGTTGATGCCCCATGCTTGGAGACTTCTAAGGTGAGGTTGGATAAGGCCTTGGGCAACCTGATCTAGCTACAGCGCCCCTGTTCATCGTGGGGGAGCTGGACTAGATGGCCCTTAGAGGTCCCTTCCAAGTCTAAGGGATTCTATGATTCTATCCCTTACTAGCTACTCTGATTCCACTGAAATTAATATAAAAATTTTCTATTGGTTTACTAGCTTTGATTAAAGTAGAACAGGTACAAAACATGATTTTATAAAACCTCACTGTACAAGTTAAGACGTGTAGCAAGGTAATTTTGAATTCTTAAACCGAGAAATTAATTATTTTTAAAAACTCTTATGCCATGCATCCACATTAAGCCCCTTAAGAGTGTAATTTAAGAAAAAAGCTCCATGCCTTCAATTTAATAAAGAGCATTTTGTTTCCCTGTAACGTTATGGAAGAAAAAAAGGTAAAATGAAATCTACAGACAATGGAATACATGCACTTGTATGTATTTGATGCTAAATTAAATATTTCTAATAAAAACAGTGAAGTGCTTACAGGGCAGACAAAATGAAACAACAGTAGCAAGCTGTGTTTCAAAAATTTTAGCAGCATTGTTATAATGTATTTGTATTATAAACACTTCAAGAACATACTGCTGAAAGAAGTCCAGGTTTTGCATACTTCAAGTTATACATCAATTCAAGTGAAAACTATTATCTTCAAAATATCCTTTAATCCTTCAAGTGAAAGCAAAGTAGGAGTGAAAGTGAGTAAAAATATGTCTATCAGTGAAGGCTTTGCATAAATATTGAGACTTTCTATCACATAACGTCTTAAGTCAGAGTAAAGGGTATCCAGTGGTTCCTCTGGAGTTTAAAACAATGAATGTTGAGAACTATTTATTTATTTTTAATAGATATTGTTACTTATGAAGTCTGTAAGGTGAACTTAATACAGGAGAGCTTTATAATGAGCAGAAGAAAGTTAAGCCAAGTAAAGAAAAAATTTCAACTGACAGTCTACTCAAACATGGAGCTTAGTAAATTGACAGTAAAATGGACTGTTATAAGAGAACAGTTAGAGGGGGAACATCAGTACGAAATTCCTCTTTGCAACGCAGTTCTGTTTTCCATCAATTGGTTATACATTTCTAACTCTAGCATCAGTAATGCATACTTATTTCCCTTCCCCATCAAAACAATAGCTTAGTACCTGTCTTAAAGCTTCCATCTCTTCACTAGCCACTCGTTTCTCAGAAGAAGTGTTCTTCAGTTTGGACTCTGCAAGCTCCAGCTCTGTTTGAAGCTTATCTACCTCTTTGATTACTTGATCTCTCTCACTCATTATGAGGCGGTATTCATTGAAAACTGAATCCCTTTCTTCCTTGTATTTTTCTGAATCCTTTGCTGCTTTCAGCTGCATTGTTTTGAACCTTGTCACCTCTGACTGTAATCGCTCCATCTCTCTCTGCAACTCTTTGTTTTGGGCTGTGGCGTTGCTTAGTTCCTGCTGTACTGACTCAAATCTAGGAACAAGTAGAAATGTCAGTAAGATACTTATACCTCACTTTCCCTTTTTCATATATTAAGGATTTTGTCAGATAATCAAATGCATCCGTAGGTAAAACACAACTTCAATGGACATCCTAGACATCAGACAGTGCTGCAAAATATAATTTAGACTAATTATTGCTTTTGGAATATCAGTGTGAAAGGGAGAACCTGTATGAGGAACCGAAACAAAAATTTTTAGAAATTAGAATTAATTTTATTATTAAAACAGATTTACAATATGTTTTCAAAAAGAAATGCAAAACATCACCATTTTTGATAGCACAAGCTTAATGTGGATTTATTGCATTGATTACTGATCATCTTCAAAGGGAATTCCTTCCCCAACACACATTCCTAGGTATGTGGCAAGAAGTGAAACAAATGTAGAAACTGGGAAAAAAAAAAAAAAAAAAAAAAAAAAAAGCAGAGTAACTTCCACATGACCAAAAATGCCATAAGTTTGGTTGGTACAGGACAGGTTAGAAGAAGACAAAAAAATAAGTTACTGTAAAAAAGTAGACCATGCACCTAGAACAGTAACTCAAACATCCTTAGTAATTTTCACCCACATTCGTCCAGTGACAACTGAAAGTTTATGTACTTTACCAATTATGAAGTTTAATTTCTCTATAGTGTATATAGTGGCTTTTGTGTTTATACTGACAAAATATTTCTAAAAGTGAAAAATTAATTCCACATACCAGTTCACAAATAGGCTTAAAAATTGAACTTTTCTCAAGAGCAACATTCTATCATAACAAGACATTTGGGTTTTCTTGTATGTCTTTTAACCGAAAACTCCCAGCAAAAGCCCTTGGTGGAAACACTGTACCCAATCTGAAGGAACTTTCAGGATCATCTAAATTTGAAGTGCCCACAAACCTTTGGAATACTTAGTTCTCTATCACACACACACCTCTACTGTTCAAGTGCCATTTTGTGTCTATTCCAGCATTTTGCCTAACCTTTCCCAACAGAAAGCTGTGAACTCAATTTCATGCATTTCCTCAAAAGTCTCAGCAGATTCACAGGATTGACACCACATTACTGAGGCACCTGACAGTAATTTCAAAATTATTTCCCTGCTCTTTTTGGGAAATTCTTCTGTTTAAAGAGACCATCAGGACAGGATTTCTAGTATTACAAACTATATTTGTATTTTCTTTTCAGAACAGCGAACATGAAGATAAAGAAGAATATATGGTACTGCAATAGATACAACAAGGACATAGCACAAATCTAATATAGAAACTATTCCAAACAATCTCATTGGCATTTGAGAACCCACATTTATTGCTGGAACAGGCTGCCCAGAAAGGTCATGGATGCCCTGTCCCTGAGGGTGTTCAAGGCCAGGTTGGACGGGGCCCTGGGCAGCCTCAAATGTGTATCAAATGTGTCAAATGTGGAGGTTGGCAGACCTGCTTGTAGCAGGGGTGTTTGGGCCTTGATGATTCTTGAGGTCCCTTCCAACCCAAGCCACCCTATTTTATGATTCTATGATATTTGAAAAATATTTGGGGTCAAATCAAGGACAACACAGAAAATACAGGGGAGAGGGGAAGGGGAAAGACTTAATGCAACATTTTTCAAACAAAGAAAATGATATCAATAAGAAAGAAAAAACTACAACAAGCATGCTGGCATGTCCTTTATGAAAGAGGTCAGAGGGATGAAGGAAAGTCTCTGCCTCAGAATGCTATTCTATTTTAATAATTATATGTGTATATATAACAACTGAGAAAACTTGAAAAGAAAGTTCTAGCTAAAATACTGTTGTCCCACCTGACCTTGCAATGCCTCCTAAGGAGGAAATATGGGCAGCTGGATCAAATTGTTACAGATGCCTTCTATAGGGAAAAATGCAACTGTAACTGGACTTTGTAACTTGAATGGGTTGTATGTATTAGGATTTTGCAGCAGTAAGCATACCTTTCTAAGTAGTAACCAAGGTGCCCTGTTTTGTCTTAACTGCAAACTGTGGGCAGATCTGAGTACCACAGCTCTCATTCAAAATGAAGAGCGACATTAAAAGTGAGGTTTGGCACATTAGAATTAGTTAGACAGTTCCATCTGCAGTTTTACCTGCAAAACATTCATCAGCTAAATTTACCAGGTAGAGCTTCCTATGCCATTATTGAGACAATTCCACAGATGTGAGAAAAATAAAAGGCTGAAACTGTCATGATATTCTAAGGCCAAAGACTCACTCTAAATGAGATTTGGGACACCATTTAAGTCTCGCTCTTTCTGCTCTCATTAAACAAAATTGATTAACTGTTGGTATTAATAAAAGAAAATGGTAGTACTGCAATTTATGATCAACTCATCTTTAAAATGAAAGCTTGTTGAGTCTGATTTTCTGAAAAATACACACACCTGAAACACATATTAAAAATTTTTTGCTCAGCCAAACAAATGCAGTTTTGGTTATGCAAAAATGATATAAAGAATAAGACGAATAAAGCCTGAATTTCTGTAACTAGCAACCAGTAAAAAGAAGTCCAGATCCAAAGATAAAGAATTTATACCTTTTAGTTAAGTCCCACCTTATTAACTCAACTGAATCACTGGTTCACAGGAATAAGGATATCAAGCCTGAAATTCCTAAAACTGACCTTTGCTCATCATCAAACTAACTTTTTTCTGAAGAAAAACACCTAAACCACAAGTCATAATACAAATATGTTGAGCTCCACCATGGTTCTGGTGTTTGCTGCAGTACATATGTAAGACTTTTTCTCACTTTCCAGAATCCATGCCAGTCTAAGTTATGACTTCTTTTATCTTACTATATCTTATAACTTATTAGAAAGATTAGAACTGTATACATGCTATGCATATGTATAGCACCTATGCTCAATTTAATATTTTTAAATACAATCTGTCTACAAAAGTTGTAAACAACACTTTCTTGGATTTGGTCTGTTGGAGATTGAAGTAAAAACATTCTCCACATCTACAGATGTACTTTGGATTCTTAATGACTGTTAGCATTCATCTTAACCAAGACAGCAGACCTAGTATCAAGCTGGAGCAGAGAGCAGTTAAGTATGGTGTGATATTGTTTGTGTCCTCCTGCTTTGGCATTTGTGCTGTTCTCAGTCACAACACCTTCCCAATTGGCTAACACACACAGATGCCTCCAGGGAACTCTGCTGCAAGGCTTAAGCTCTGTCTCAAGAGTCCCCCATGGTATGAAACTCTTATGTCATAAGAAATTAACTTGAGAATATCTTCTCTAGCTAAACATCTTTAGGAAATTATATATGCTTTTTCCAAATAACATCCCCTTCACATATTTTATGCTGTTCTAGAAACTCTTTTACGCAAGCTTACACATCTCACCAAGAGAAAATACTAGAATTTCTTCTGCAGTGAAAATAAGATGCAATGTTAAGATTGTTAGAGCCTACACAGCATATCCAAATATAAAAGAAACCTTATACCTTCTGAGAGAGGACGAATATTGCTGTTGAAAATGTATCGCGGTGTCCCTTTGCTTCATTAGCATGTCAATCTGTTTCTGAAGACGTCTGTTCTCCTCCTCAGCCTGCTCTAGGCGACTGAGATCTGTATTGTGACTTGCTATCTTCTCATTGTAACGCTTTCTTAAGGCATCATAATCCTTCTTCACACCCTCTAGCTTGTCCATTGCTGTATCATAGAGCTTATTTAATATCTCTGATGACCCATTTTGCTTCATAACCTAAAAAAAAAAAAAAAAAAAAAAAAGAAACTTTAAGTCTTGCATGTAGAGAGAAACACATGCCTTGATGAGATGTGAGAAAGCATTTAAAGATCATCTACTTTTACTTCGTGTTTAAAATTATTGTCTCCACAGCAAAAGAAGTCTTTATTTAAGCAGCACTTGGCCAATGTACTGATGAAATCTCTATATTAAAATAATCTTAACTTCAGACTCCTAAAAACCAATAGCATCGGAACTTTATTTTTAATCAGCCCAATGCTTTTATCAATAACGATAAAACAAAAATACACTCTGCAATTTTAATAAATGTTCTTTTCTGTGATTAAGAAAGAATTGAGCCTCCACTTAGCATTACTGTTACTCTAACCATCACTATATCATCTGCTTAATGTTAACTGGAAAAAAAAATCTGCCTTCTCATAAGTCAGTGAAACTCTCTAACCGTAATTGCTATCAACAAATATTAAATTTACATTGTTTTTGAAGTATTTTTTTAAGTTTCGGAAAGAGGTTAATTGCTATTCGACGAGCAAGATAAGGGTTGCAATTTAGGAAATGACCAAGAGGTGGCACTCATGACAGACTCTATGCTCAGGGAATAACTCATTTAAAACTTGAACAGAATGAAATCTAATCCAGACACACAGGCATTTATTCTAATATTTATACAATACTTAATCTGAAAACTATCTACAAACATTCATGCTTCAAAAGCTATTCAAACAATATTAATAGGGACACAAAATCCACTTTAACATGCAAATTCTGACCGGAAAATTAATTTTAAATTAATTTCCATTGAACAAAGAATTGTGCTGTAAATGGCAACATTTATTGTAAATGACTTGCAAAAACAACAAACTCATGAACTTCAGAAAATCTAGTCTTTTCATAGTAAAGGGCAAAAAATGTGCACAAAATGAGGAATTTTTTTTTTAATTTTTATATGCCATACTGGTTTTCTCCTCTTCCTGTATTTTAAATTGAAAACTAGATTTGATGGAGCAATAGGAAGAAATAGGGTGGCTAGATACACAGAGGTGTCAGGAGTTTACGTAATCCTAACATTAGCCCATACATCTATGTCCTTTAATGTCTGAAAAGATGAGCTCTATCAAAAGTTCAGAACAAACACATAGCAACCACTCCACACAAAATCAAACACATTTCAACTACCAGACTTGGTTCTTTAGTCATCTGCTCTAGAGCTGAGATAGCACGATTTCACTACAAAGTTGGAAAAGATTTTCCCTGCCATGCACATTGATCCCATATCACTGACACTTTCAGGTACCTTTGGCTCTTCATCTTTTTCTTACATTCAGTGCAAGGACACAGGAGATGGGACGTCTGCACAGAAGAAACTGTTGCCACCATGCAGCCTGCCCACTCAGTGTGCCATACTCACTGCCCATAGGTAGCACCAATAGGTAGGTCTACCTATGGTAGACCAATTTTTACTGTCAGAAAAACACTTCTGTGCATAAAGAAGAGGTAACATTCTTTAGCCTGATGCTGGATGCTGGTCTCCTTTAATTAGTGTTCACAAAGCACTCCAGGAACAAAACTGAGCTTTAGGGAATCTCATCAGCATGGTGAATTCCATACACACCGACACATTCTCGTCAGTTTCAGTAGCACAAGCCACACAGAGCTGGAGGCGTTGGTAGCTAGCATGAGTCAGTGAACCATTTTAGAGAAAATAAACATGCCAATGTTGCTTCTTATTCGAGAACATACTATTATTCTGTATAATAAAATGTAAGCATATGTAAAGTGTAAGTATATGTTAATTTACATTGTACTCATGAATACTCCTTTCCTGAAGATTAGTTCCCAAAATAAGTTTGAAAACAGAGTTCTTGAGAATCCAAACAGAAACAAGCCTCTTCTCACTGCCTAAGCATACATGTACTGTCTTTTTGTCGAAAGCACACAAAATAATTCAAGAAGGACAGCTATGCCAGAAGTTTGATGGAAGTAAGCATAAACTTGCTAAAAGAGACTTCACAGAGGCAGAAAGAAATGCCATAAGCAGGAAACAGAGAAATAAGGAAGGTCTTCTATTCAAAACCCCAGCATGAGAAAAAGTGAGTAGTCCCAGCTGGACCAAGGAAGACAACTACAAGAAACAGTGTGAGCAGCAGGAACATAAGCTGGGCAGCTCCTAAACAGCAAATCAATGACAAACTAAGAGTAATTCAATCAAAAGTTTGTGCTCTCCAAGGCCAATGAGATGCTGTTTTGACACAGCCTGAAGATGAAACAAGACATCAGAGTTATCAACAAAAACAGAATTAGACTAATATAGATGAGAAATGACACCGACAAGATAAGGATCTTGGCACCCCTTCAAGACATGATTCACTTTGACATGCTGAGAAATGGAGCTACACAACTTTCTCATTGAGAGTAACACACATACTTTAAAGTTTTAATCATGATGTTGTTGACGTGAGACTGAATTTCTTCAAATAAATGTTTAAAATGATGTTTCAACCTTCCTTTGTGCTGACAGACAATTTCAGATTTAGACAATCTCAAAACACAGCAACCTTCTCTTGGAGGTTTCACACCTCTGCTTTGCAGCCTGACAGGCTGATGCAAAGCTGATGCACAAAACAATTATGCCATTTGCTCAGGTTAACACAGCAAACTATTCTTGCTGCACAGAACATAACCCACATTCTGAATCAATTCACCAAACCACAACAGAACTCTAAAGATGAATACTTGAGAGGATTGGGCCACAAGGAAATGCAAATTGCCATTCCTTATTTCACTAGCTCTCAAATATCTCCTAAGGCACCACTTATCAGAGAGAGCTTGTTTTGACCTTTGCACCTCCTACCCTAGCAAATGATTATTTTTGTTTACAAAGGTTTTACTTCTGAAGTCTAATGTTTGACTTGTAAGTTTGTCCTGTGAATCAGAATACACACACTCAAATAGGATATTCTATTTAGCCGTTCCAGATGTTAGTGTAACTACTTTAACTGTTCTGGATGAGAACCGTGGACCTGATAGCACCAGTCACTAATGACGATTCCTCTTGGCTTTCCTTGTTCAGAATACACAAGCAACTTTGCTGTTGAGATTGTTATACACAGCTGTGTAATGCCTTCTTCCAGTTCTGAAAAGACTTTTTTTTTTTTGTTTCAAGTTCATAAACATTACAGAATCACAGAACAGCCAGGGTTGGAAGAGACCTCAAGGATCATGAATCTCCAACCCCCCTGCCACATGCAGGGCCACAAATCTCCCCATTTATTACTAGACCAGGCTGCTAGGGTCCCATCCAACCTGGCCTTGAACACCTCCAGGGATGGGGCATCCACAGCCTCTCTGGGTAGCCTGTTCCAGCACCTCACCACTCTCATAGTAAAGAGCTTCCCCCTGACATCCAACCTTAATCTTCCCTCCCTCAACTTAAAACCATTTCCCCTTGTCCTGCTGTTATCAACCCTTTCAAAGACTTGATTCCCTCCTGTTTGTAGGCTCCCTTTAGGTACTGAAAGGTTGCAATGAGGTCACATTGCAGCCTTCGTTTCTCCAGGCTGAACAAGCCCAGCTCCCTCAGCCTGTCTTCATAGGGGAGGTGCTCCAGTCCCCTGATCATCTTTGTGGCCCTCCCTCCTCTGGACCCTCTCCAACAACTCCCTGTCTGTCTTGTACTGGGGGCTCCAGACCTGGACACAGTACTCCATATGGGGCCTCACAAGAGCAGAGTAGAGGGAGACAATCACCTCCCTGTCCCTGCTGGCCACCCCTCTTTTGATGGAGCCCAAGATACCATTTGCCTTCCAAGCCGCAAGGGCACACTGCTGGCTTATGTTAAGTTTTTCATCTATTAAGATTCCCAGGCCCTTCTCCACAGGGCTGCTCTCAAGGACATTAATTGATCTATAGCTTTGTCCTAACTCAATAGCATCTGTGAACCTAAATAACCAATCTTCGTTAATTCCTCTAAAATTTGTCAGTAAAAGAAAGAAAAATGTCACTCTTTTTTTTCCTGTAACACATGGCAAAAAAAAAAAAAAAAAAAAAAAAAAAAAAAGCATAACATCCATTTTAAAGCTTGTCCTGTCTCATACATTAATCCAGTACCATAGCCTTTTTCAATCACCTTGCAACTTCAAACTAGGTTTTTGATGCCTCCCCTATCAATTTAAAAATACCACATAACATACGATCTTCATCATGTAAAATCTTTTCTTCTCTGCATCAAAATCTCTTCATGCTATTTAATATTCTATATCCCCTGTTCTTTCTCCAGCTAGATACAGAAAAAATTAATTCAAATTCACATTCATCCCTAGTAACATGTAAGGCTTTTTTTTTTTTTTTAGACTCAGTGAGACATAAAATGCAGCAATGCTACACGTTCATTTTTCTAGACTTATTTGTCAAAGAAAAAAGTTAATGTATTCTTCTAGCACATACATTACAAGCTGTCACTTACCTGCTGCTGCTGGCTGCGTAGGTCTGTTATCTCTTTCTGATCCTCATCGTGAAGCCTTTTCATTTCCTCACACGACTGCTGGAGATGGTTATGTTCTCTCACCAACTGTGTGTTTTTCCTCTTCAAGGTATCCATGTCCTCCTTCAGCTGTGATTGGTCACTCAGCAGTCGACTGTGCAATGTGCTGTCATGGCACAGAAAAACACGCATGGGGAGAAAAATTTGCTCAGAGTGTTCTAACTAGTTTCAAGTAAGAGCTCGCTACCTAGAAAGCAGATCAAACTAACTCAATTCTTCAAATTTTAGAATTACAAGAACCAGAAAAATCAGAGAAGAACATAAAAATAGCAAACTACATCTTCTCCAATTACCTTCTGCTCTCAAACCTGACTATTGCATTGTAATTGCAAGTCAACAACCAGGCTTTCTTTGTCTACGTCCCTCCAAGCTATCAGGGATTTCTATCTCAAGTTCTCCAAAAATAACAGGTAGCTTATATTTTTATCATTTCAAATAGTCCCAAATTATTTTTTATCTGATGCATGCAAACATTAATCGTGCAATTAGAGTGGAATAACAGAACAAGAAATCATTTGTTTACCATACTTTAATATGCTACAATTTAATACTAATTGGTAAATTGCTTCTTACAGATTTACTAATACTTACTGATAAAAATCAGCTTCTTTTGCTGCTTCTTCACATCTTTTTAATGTCTTAGTATGTTGATTTTGCAGGGACTGTAGGTCTGACATGGCCTTCATGCACTGAATCTTCAGTCTTTCATAGTCATGATTAGGTTTTGGACTAGGCCTAGGAAGGAAAAAGTATTTTTGAAGTTAAATAAACATTACCACACAGCTGAGGCTGTTGGACCCTTGCTGCTCTTTAAAATTCATGTACTGTTTGAACCACAGAATCATAGGGGTTGGAAGGGACCTCCAGAGATCATCGAGTCCAACCCCCTGCCAAAGCAGGTTCCCTACACCAGGTGTTCAGGCAGGTGTTGAACATCTCCAGAGAAGGAGACTCCACAACCCCCCTGGGCAGCCTGTTCCAGTGCTCCGTCACCCTCACTGTAAAGAAGTTCTTGCACACATTTGTGCAGAACTTCCTATGCTGCAGTTTCTGGCCATTTCCCCTTGTCCTGTCTTCACATACTGCTGAGAAGAATCTGGCCTCGCACTCTGCCCCTCACACCTTAGATATTTATAGACCTGGATCAGGTCCCCTCTTAGTCTTCTTTTCTCAAGGCTAAGCAGACGCAGTTCACTTAGCCTTTCAACCAAAGAAAGCAGTAACTGACACTTCTCTGGATTCTGTGATGAGGTTCAGCATTAAGCTGTTGTGATCTTACTTAACAAGTACCAACAACTACACAGATTTGAATGGACTGCTTTGTTTTGTTTGTTTGGTTTTTTTTTTTTCCTGACTTCTGAACAGCAATGCAGTTCCCTTAGTACAAATGCATCTTTTTCTTGCTAAGACGTAGGCCCTTGGAACAGCAGTGTAGAACACACCGCCTTTGCAGTGCAGGCTTTTTGTTTCCTGTAGATCAGCTAGAATGCAGGAAGCTACTGGCAGCATTGCTATCTGTTTCTCATTGTAGGCTGATATTTATATTTACCTGCATGATATCCTTGTTTATAGGAATTATTATTATTTTTTTTTTTTAAGAGTTCAACAATACACGAAACATACAAGTAATTCATGAATGAAAGCTAGACATGCCAAACAAGTTGTCACCGCAGCTTTGAGAGAGACTCAACAGTTACTTCTTAGAGAAACTTCTTGCAATGAAATATTTTGCAGTAAGGTGGATTTGATTAACTTAGTATGAGTGTATGTTAACTGGACTCAATAAGCTTAAAGCTGCAACTTAGAATTAAATGTGTTTTAGTTCATGTTCTCATTTTAGTGACTGCTGGACAGATAGTTTCAACTTTCAAAAACCTCACTCTGAAGTCTAATTTAAATCAATACTTGGATTTTCAGTGATTCTGTCAATGGTGCGAACATCTCAAATAGAGTTTTACTACTGCTAATTAGAATTATATTTTAAAAGGGAAACTAACACTACAGTAGTTATGGTAATATATTTGTAAGACTGCACGAGTGTTTTCTTTTTATACCCAGAAACATATAGTGAATTCAAAAAGTAACAATATAATAGAAAAAAAGACATTCCTGAAGACTTGACTTGAACGTTCAGTTTCTTTATATGAATTTGTGTTTTAATTGTTACTGCAGTCTGTCAGTAAAGGAAAGAATTGATGGGTTCTTTCTTCCCCCTTCTTCCTGGAGAAAGGGGCAAAGGAGGAATTACAAGACCTTATTATTGAGCAGCTCAAATACAACTAAGTTTCTAAAAAGTACCTTCACACCTTGCAGACATATGCTAAGCACCTGTGAGTCAGATGTGACTGCTATGTGTTTTCTTATGACTCTCAACACTGCAGCTATGCAGAATCATTTTTACTTCAGTTCAGTTGCCAGATGAATTTCAGTTCCAGAATCCATGCTGCTGTTCTTGTATGAATCGAAGAGAGTTCTGGTTACTTCTAAAGCAGAGCTTACAGCCATTTTGGAGAGTATGGTGTCAAGAAAGGGAGACAGGGCAATCTGTGCAACAGTGGACTAAATGTGATATGAGACTGAACAAACTAGACATCAACTGATTTTTCTCCTTCCCCCCCACCCCCTCGTTTGTTAGAGGTACAGGATCCAGGAGAAGACGCACAGACAGCTGTAAGAAACTTTATTTTGAAAGTAGAAAATACAGTGATGAAAAAACAAGAAAGCATAATCCCACTAAATCCAGGTTTTAAACTTTATGATTTATGATTTTATGAATTATTTTCTAACATAAAAAAATGCATCAAGTACATTGGATACACTTTGTAGACATTATCTGTGTTGGTCAATTGCCAGATAGAATAAAAGTGTTGCTGTGAAAGTCATGCCTAATATTTTATTATGTTGGACTACAATGTCAGAGGTGGATGTTGATGGTATGGCAGTAAAGGCTGAATCTTCCCATCAATATTCCATTACATTTGTGACAGATGGCAGCAGATGGACAGTCTAACAGAATATCATTTGATGTGGAAGTGTGAATGAAGCAAAGGTGTGTCACTGAATTTCTCCATGCAGAATGAACAGCACCTTTTGACATTCACTGACACTTGCTGAATGCTTCTGGAGACCAAACATCGAATGTGAGCACAGTGAGGCCATCAGTGGCACATTTCAACAGCAGTGACAGTGGGTCACCTAAAATGGTGCAGATTTTTGAGTGCAGCATGCATTGTTCATTGCTGGTGAAAACGCATAGCGAATAGTGTTGAAAAAGAGCATTTTGTAGCTGATAATTTGCTTCATAGTCTTATTGTGCTCCGTATACATTGTAGTTTCCATGAATCTACATAGGAAGCATTACTTTCACAGGGAACTACAAATACAGAGTGCACCTTGACCACAATAAGTAATTTGGTCAAAGCCCTACTTTAGTACGACAACACGTGCATGCATACAGTCATTCTCATGTGACTCAAGCGCAGCATGAGCAATCCTACTCCTGTCCAACAGAGTAACACGTGGTACTCTGATTTAGCTCATCACAATCCACTTCTGTGGTTCCTCTTCCATTACTCTAGGACTTAGTCAACACCAGATTTGAAAAACAGCTCTCAATTTTGCAACCACCTGCCTTCTCAGCCAGCACAGCCTAGCCTACAAACACTTTGCCAGCTGCAGCTATTTCTAAGCATGCCACCATGATTTGTTGAGATTCACCTCTACAGCACCCATGTTTGAGAGAACCATTGTGATACTACAATGCCTTTTAAGGCTGCAAAAGCCATCACCTAAATGGTGGTCTTTCACATTTCACAATTCAGAGTGGCAGTTAGCAGTGCTGGTGCTTTGACTACTGGAAAGCTAATGATGTTTTTTGTACGAGGAAAGTACAAAATACCATCAAGTTTTCAAAAAGCAAAGTAGCATTATTTATATGAGAGTAATATTTTTTTATTTTATAAAGGAAAAGTCAGCTAGTAACCTTTGTTCATTTTCCAGCCATCAAATATTTAATTTTTTGGAAGGCAGCATCTTCCATTTTGTATAAACCACCCAAACACTGTCCAAACAATGTTTATTTTAATGAGTTTTCTTTAAGCTGTAAACTTATATATTTTCTGCAACGTACAAATCTTAATATTGGCAAAAGATTGATTTGACAATTAAAGAAAGAAAACTAGGGCAGGCTAGAGCACAGCTCATCAGAACTTCATTAATAGTATCCGGGATTATAGAGAACAACACTTTAAGCTGTAAAATCCCCAATGCCTAAGCTCTAGTGGTTTCACATAAGAAGAATCTCTGTTCGAATAAGAAATAAACCAAAGCTCTGTCAAAGACTGATATTTGACAACCCTTTTTCTCTCTTCACCACAACACTTACAGGCCCTCAAGATAGAACACAAAGCTCCCCAGTCCCTGCAGTAGTCTTCCTTCCAACAACACCAGGGTGAGGAGGCTGAAACAATCAGCTAAGGAGCAAATAATAAAGCACACAGATTTTCTCATCTTCAGTTCACTGGCTCAAATCTTGAAACCTCTTATATGGACAAGATTTCTATTAATCACCTCTTCAAAGCAGCAAACACTTCAGCCACTGTCTTTCACATCCTCCCATAATTAGCAACTAGCTTGTTTTCTTCTCTCGAGATTGATTCAAGTCCTATTCACCTATTCCCCTCAATCCCACAGCAAAATTGCTGTAAAAAGCAGGAACATGCATTCCACATGCAGCTCTGAAACCTCTGTGTGGTCACCCTACCCCTACATATGCGTCACCACAATGTATGTACCTCAAAAGCAACATAAACACACACTGCAATATTACTGCTACTTTACAAGCAAGAAACAAGATACTTGAAAGTTAACGAAGACTAAGTTGAAAGGAAATTACCTGCAATCATCAAAAGTTGATCCAGGAGATGAAAGTGCAAGTCGCTTGCGCAGCTCATCCCTCTCCCGAGTTACCTGTCGGAGCTGAAATAATATTGTCTCCAGCTTCTCACTCATCTGTCTCGTATCTGATACAGGTGGTGGAGATGATGCTTTGCCAGTTGTACCTGACCAAGAGACAATGAACTGACAGTCAGAGAACTCCTCAAAAGAACAAAGCCACTTCACTGAAATAATTAGTACTATTAAAAAAAAAAAAAACTATATTTTTTTTTACAGATTCTTGTTCGAAAACAAATTGTTCAAGTTTTCATCAGTGAGCTGACACAAAAACTCAATTCACTCAGACTTCACATTAGCAAAACAGTTTTATTTGTGTTGCAAGTAATGTTTTCATGAGTAAGTCACTGGCTTCCTCATGTACTTACAAACTACCATCTAAGAGGGGACAACTGATGGGCAAAGTAAGAAGAATTAGCCATATGGCTAGCCTAGAAAAAAGGCAAGGCACCTTTGGACTCATAACTGCAAAGACCTCAAACAACAGTGACAAAAAAGTCTCACATAAAAGGTCATTTCCAATGAAGTATCAGGTTCCATGCTTTAAGAAAAAAATTATATATATAAAGAAGAAAAAATACACTTACATCAACTTAGCTCACTGACTGTAGACAAACTGTTACAGCAGAGGGACTCTTCTCCTGATCCTTTAACCTTATAGATAGACTATTTCATAGGTATACTATGACTAGCTTGATTTTTTTTTTTTCCCCCAGGAAAATCCTGTTTTCATACATTACAACTTATCAGTCATGCATGCAAAGATTTGACTTAGCAGCAAATTAGGAGAGCCAGGCTTCACTTTTAACAACACTGGTTAAAATGAGCGCACTACAATCACAGCAACTGGACACACAGTACATGCAGGATCTCATCACTATCACCACCACGTTCATCAGTGATAAACAGTAATGCCCCACTGTCTTTTTGGTATCTCATATCAATACAAAGAGATTCGTCCACAGAATGCAAAAACTCCCTCCAGTTTTTAACTAGAACTTCCTGTTCTCAGGTTTCCACAGCAAACTAACTTCAGGGCTAGGGCTAACCATACACAGAACATCCAGTGTAATAGGATCCCTGTTCCTATTCCCTTCACCTATTAATATAATTGTGTAACAAGAATTTCTGAGCACAGACTATTCTTTTAATCTAACTATTGCATAGTTAGAATAATGCATACAAATGTTTTGATAGTTAAGAATTGCAGGAACATCCCACACTCTGTAGAAAGATACAAGACATGGACTCACACTGCTCTAAAGGACTTTCAACAGAGCCTACAATTAGGTTTTTCTCCTGCTACTCCTTCATTCAAGAGTAACCTCTTCCATGAAGGCTACGGATCTCACACTAATAAAACACAAGTGTGTTTCTTTTATTTCCTAAAACAATAATTATTCAGCATAGTTTTTAATGAAAGATTATTCAGAAACATCATGCACTATTCTAGGCTCATGTTGTAATGAATAGACAGGAAATAATAAATGGAAAAGTCAAAATGCATGTCCATTTGGAACAGTATAGATGTTAATGAGGAAGGCAGTTTCATCAACAAGTGAAAAAGTAGACAAATATAATTCCTAATTCAGGAACTGACAGGGTTCACAGACTTAGGTAGATTCAATCCCCAAGCTACGCCAGGCAAGGCAAGACTGCTTTAAATAAAATCAAGCTATCTAGCCTTAGGAAAGAAGTTCCTGGACAAACATGAAGTCATTAACCTTATTACCAGAAACAGTTATTTTTCATTAACCTGTCACTTTTTATGTTTACGTTAAAAAAGTATTTTTGTATGCAAAGTACAATGATGATACTGTCAACATATAATACCAGTGAAGATTTAAGAGCTATATAAACAATATTCCCTCTAATCCAAACCCAAAAAAATGTATCTTTGCTCAATAACAACTTCACATTTTTAATAATTGTATAATGTTAAATTTGTGGACATTCCAAAAAAGCTTCAGTGAACTTCTCTTTCATCAGAAAAATTCAATTTCAACTCTCCATTTCCTTGAAAGGGATTTTTACAGTTGAACGCTAAAAGCTTTTTACTGCATCTGATATCCTGATGCAGTATAGAGAAAGTGACCTGTGCTTCCAGCTTTATATTCTTTTTCCATCTGACTGCATGTTTACATAAAAGTACTTCCTTTCTGCATTTTAACCACTCAAACTGGTCTTAAAATCTACAAGCCTAAAAGCTAAATTTCCATTATCCAAATGATGCCATCTTACAACAACTTACTTGCTTCCTCAGATAATCTGGATTTGTTAAAATGGATGTACTGCACGTCTCGACAAGTGCAACTCATCCATCTGCTTAGTAAAGCCCAGAACTCCTTTTCCATATCAGCTCCCCTTTTGCTGAGGATCCAGCAATACCCAGGCACATGCTGCCAGCCTCCAGGTAGGCAGCATTCCACTGTCTCCAACAACAGCCCCACAGTGGGGGCACTACGTTCAAAATTAGTTCATGCAGTACACCCATGAAGTCCTGAGTACACATTAACTGAATCAAAATCAAAATTTTGCCAAATTTCATACCTGCATTCTATAAAAGAAAAGCAGCTATAACAGAAGCTAAAGCAATTACATCCTCTGCAGTTTAAGCATGTGATTTCATGGAAGTCACAATGATCAAATAATTATCAAATACAATTTTTGATGGCTACTCTCATAATCAATGTTTGAACAGATAATACAGCCACATAGACACTAGTGCACAGTTAGCTTCATTTGCATGTCACTCCCAGTATTCGGGGATAGGGCAGCACACTTTTTGGACTAAAAATAACATTTTAAGAGGAATGTGGCTGGGAAGCTCGTTAAACTGACTAAGATGAACCACAACACTGAATCAGTATAACGCTGAGGTGGGAAAACGAGTACCAATGGATGAGGAATTATTTTTTAAGAAATAATATGAAAATACCTTAAGTTATAACACATACATTTTCCTTTTTGAGAAATACACTTGGTATGATATACACATATACCCAATTTAAAAGGCAGCCATCAGCTAACATAATGCTTGTAATTGTATTTCAATTTTTTTCAAGTCATTTTATAAATTTCATAAAGCCAATTCTTGCTTGAAAACAATCAGACTAGTCTATGTACAACTGATCCTCCTCACAGCTTCCATTTAAAAAAGAAAATCAACATGGATGTCCTGAGTACCATTTCTTTAAGGTCCTGTAAATCATGAGAGAATATGTTAAAAAAACACTTGCAAAATAAGACAAAAGATGTGTTGCAAATAAGGTTTCTCCCCCAGCTCAGGAAAAACTTATTCTAGCTGCAGGAAAATCTGTGCTAAAATATTTACTTTCTTTCAATAATTTATATGCTCTAAAATGGGATTACATAACAGAATCTACCCTTTGATGCATTTCTTCAGATGTATCTTTAGAAGTGGCCTTGAAATAACAGACAGTGGAACAGAAGTGCCTTGTAGGTGAAATAAAACATTAGTAAAAAAAGCAGCAGTCCATAGAGAAAGGGAAACTGAAAGGTACAATACTGAACTGTGGAAGAGTGTCATCTGATAGACAAAAACCTAATAGGTTATGAAAGCAGTGAGGATCGTGTAACATGCAAGAAAAAGAATGTGCAACATTCCAGTGTTTGTCTTACTACAGAATATAATACCCTAAACAAACCTGCCGGCACGCAAAACAAACTTTCAACTTAGATAAACTTAAGACTTTAGAAAGAGCTGAGCAGTCCTACTGGAAAGATCAACATGAATGAAAATCTACAACCCAGTACTCAGAAACTGAGAGGAAAGAAAAAAAGTACTAATTATATCAGTTTGAAAAGTTCTTGCAGAACTTTTCCAAGCTACAAAAGAGATTAAAATCTATATCATAGCCAAGGAAACACAGTTGGAACTTCTGCATTTGAGTAGCCAGCATCTCCTGGTGGGAACTATCAAACCTAATGTTTATCAGGTTAATAAGTGCACAGCAGAATCATGACCTGGGCTCAAGTACACCATCCAAAAAGTGCGGGACAGCTGCCAGGCAGTCGCTGCACACCAACCTGAGGCTGAGACTCCACTGATGCTTGCTGCCACAGCTTCTGCCACAGGAAGCTATGAGCATCATTTCATCATACCGTTTAAGAGCCCAAAAAGAAAACTGCTGACACCAAAATGGTTTCCTGAATGCACAGACTGATAAAGGGATGCAGGGAGTAGGGAAAGACATCATGTTCCAGACATGCTGTCTAGAGTGCAGGAGGTGTGGATTCACACATGCTGCATTTCCATTCAGATTATTACAGATTGAATCTTCAGGAATCTCAGCAATCTGCTGCCGAAGACTGATACTGAGGCATATAAAACATTGTGGTCAGATCAGGGATTTTTCAAGCTCAATTTATGCAGAATTGTTAAGAGGTCAAGAACTAATTCAAACTGAATTTGTGAGGTAATGCAAAAAAACAAAACAAACAAACAAAAAAAAAAACAACAACAAAAACCACAAAAGTAAAAAAAAAAAAATGTAAACCCACAGCTCCCTCTTCTCTGAGACTATTTATTGGTAAAGTTAATTTCCTAATTTCTTTGTGACTACTGTTTTCCGTTTGTTTAAATTTTATTTTAAATCAGGGTATCACATCCACTGAGTAAATCTTGAGTGGCTCTGAACTGACGAGAAATGCATGACTACACTTAAACCCATAGCTGCCAGGAAATGGATGCTATAAAAGTCAGTAAGAATACAATAAAGCAATGCAAAGTGCTTACTACTTAAAAGAAGGTGGTTAATAGCAAACAGACTGAAAATCAGGCAAAGAGATTAAGGATTACTTATATGGTTCATAAACCGAACTGAGTGAAAAAAAAGTGTGAAGTTCTTCTAAGTTTGTGGAGGAGTGTGGGTATTTCGTAACTTTTGTTTCCAGGAAACAAAACATGTACTAAGATCAAAGGACAAGAAAATTACATAGGATTTAGATCTATAAAAAGAGGTTTAACTTGACTGTTGAGTTGAAATTTTACAGGCATATACTTTTGAATAGAGATTGATCATCTAAGCCAATCACTGGAATACACAAAAGGATTCAAGTGTAATGTACTGGTAGCATTCCCGTT